CATATATATACATGTATGTTTCTGTATATACATATATGTATGTATATGTATGTATATGTGTGTATATGTGTGTGTGTGTGTGTGTGTGTGTGTGTATATATATATATATATATATATATATATTTATTGCCATGGGCCACTTGTGGTCCATGCAAGGATTTCGGGCAGCCTGTGCAAAAATATGGAGGATGTAACTATGGCTCAGGGCATCCTCAGGTCCCAAGGCTGTTGTTCTTAGACAGAGCTAATAGGGCTCACTGACCTTTTAAGAATAAGTGATTAAGAAGCTTAATACCCTTGTATAGGCCTGATACACACACACACACACACACACACACACACACACACACACATATATATATTTATATACTTTTGGTGAGGCAGTCAGGGTTAAGTGACTTGCCCAGGGTCACACAGCCACACAACTAGTGTCAAGTGTCTGAGGCCGATTTGAATTCAGGTCCTCCTGACTCCAGGGTCGGTGCTCTGTCAACTGCTCCACTTAGCTGTCCCTGAGTCATTCAAAGTTGATCAACTACAATGTTTTCCTGGTTCTGCTCATTTTACTTTGCATTAGTTTGTACAAGTCTCTAGATTTTTCTGAAATCTGCCTGTTCATCATTTCTTATTACACAACAGTATTCCATTCCATTCATGTACTACAGCTTGTTCAGCCATTCCCCACTTGATGGGCATCCCCTCAATTTCCAATATTTTGCTATCATGAAAAGGGATACTATAAATATTTTTGCATGTATAGGTCTTTTTCCCTTTCTCATGATCTCTTTGGGGTACAGATCAAGCAGTGGTATTGCCAGATCAAAGGGTATGTACAACTTTATAGTGCTTTGGGCATAGTTTCAAATTGCTCTCCAGAATGACTAGATCAGTTAATAACTCCACCAACAGTGCATTAGGGTCCCAATTTTCCCACATCCTCTCCAACATTTATCATTTTGCTTTTTTGTCATGTTAGCCAATATGATAGGTATGAGATGGTACCTCAGACTTGTTTTAATTTGCATTTCTCTAATCAGAAGTAATTTAGAGGGGCAGCTAGGTGGTGCAGTAGATAGAGTTCCGGCCTTGGAGTCAGGAGGACCTGAGTTTAAATCTGACCTCAGGCACTTGACACTTTCTAGCTGTGTGACCCTGGGCAAGTCACTTAACCCTATTGCCTCACCAAAAAAACAAAAACAAAAAAAATATACCTATAGATAGCTTTGATTTTTTCATTTGAAAACTGTCTGTTCATATCCTTTGACCGTTTATCAGTTGGGAAATGGCTTATATTTACAAACTTGATTCAGTTCTCCAGATATTAGAGAAATGAGGCCTTTATCAGAGACACTTACTATAAAGATTGTTTCCCAGCTTTCTGTTTTCCTTCTAATCTTGGTTGCATTGGTTTTGTTTTTGCAAAAGCTTTTAAATTTAATATAATCAAAAGTATCTATTTTACATTTTGTAATGCTTTCTTTGTCTTGTTTGGTCATGAAACTGTAACTCACTTAACTTCTCCTTTAAGAATTTGGATGCTATGTCATTTGGTGCATGCATATTTAGTATTGATATTACTTCATTGTATATGGTATCTTTTAGCAAGATGTAATTTCCTTCTTTATCTCTTTTAATTAGGTCTATTTTTGCTTCTGCTTTGTCTGAGATCAGGATTGCTACCCCTGTTCTTTTTTTTTTAACTTCAGCTGATGCGTAATAGATTCTGCTCCAACCTCTTACCTTTACTTTGTGTGTGTCTCTCTGCTTCAGGTGTGTTTCTTGTAAACAACATATAGGATTCTGGTTTTTGATCCCCTCTTCCATCCACTTCTGTTTTATCGGAGAGTTCATCCTATTCACATTCAGTTATGATTACTATGTATTTACCTCTGTCCTATTTTTCCTCCTGTTTGTCCCCTCTCTCCTTTTACCCTTTCTCTCTCCTTGACAATGTTTGTTTACGTCTACCACCTCCCCTGGTCTGCCCTCTTTTCTGTCAGTCCCACTGCCCCACTTTACTTGATCTCCTTCCCTCCTACTTTTCTGTAAAATGGATTTCTTTATTCAACTGATTGTGTATATTATTCCCTCTTTGAGCCAATACTGATGAGAGTAAGGTTCAAGTAATGCCCAATGTCTGCTCCCTCAATTCACCTTATACCTGTACCTCAGACTGTGTATATTCTTTCCAGCTGTACTATAAGTGGTGCAATTTTTAAGAATTACAAATATCAGGGGCAGCTAGGTGGCACAGTGGATAAAGTGCCGGCCTTGGAGTCAGGAGGACCTGAGTTCAAATCCGATCTCAGACCAGATACTTGACACTTAGTAGCTGTGTGACCCTGGGCAAGTCACTTAACCCCAATTGCCTCACCAAAAAAAAAAAAAAAGAATTACAAATACCATCTTCTCATGTAGGGACGTAAACTGTTCAGCTCCATTGAATCCCTTATGTTTTCTCCCTTTTTACCTTTTTAGGCTTCTCTTGGGTCTTGATATTAGAGATCAAATTTTTTGTTCAATTCTGGTCTTCTCCTTATGAAAGCCTGAAATTCTTCTATTTCTTTGAATGACCATTTTTTTCTTTCTAAGTACTATGCTTACTTTTACCAGGTAGGTGATTCTTGGTTGCAGTCTTAGTTCTTTTGCCTGCCAGAATATCATGTTCCATTCCCTCTGACCCTTTAATGTAGCAGCTGCTAAGTCCTGGGTAATCCTGATTGTGGCTCCCCAACCTCATTTTAAGGACTCCAGGATGCCACAGAGGCCAAATTAGCAAGGGAGTTCAAAGTAGTATTTCACTGAGTGAACACGCAAAGACATAGCTGTCCTAAAACACTCAACTAATTTCCCTTTTCTCTTATCAGGAGTTCAGAGAGGAGGTGACTGAGAAGAAGACAGAAGACTTCCATGGAATAGTGGGAAGAACACTTAGAATTGGAAGATCTCCATTAAAGTCTGGTTCTGCCATTTACTAGTGTATGATCTTGAACAGGCCAGGAAAGCACTATGGTATGGTGGAAAGAAGGTTGATTTTGAAGTGCAAGGATCTAGGTTCAAATCCTGGCTCTTCCATTTACAGAATCCTCCAATTTCAGAATCGGAAAGAATCTCAATGCCCACCTAGTCTAAAGCATATGAGTTACTTACCTGTATGACCTTGGGCATATTATTTAAAACTTTTTGGACCTCAGTTTCCTCCTCAAAATGAGGGGGTTGAACTAGATAATGTCTAAGGTTCCTTCTAATTCTAGTATTCCTTGATTCCTGGACTCTATCTCAGATTGTGAAAATTCTCTTTAAATTTTTTGAGGTTCTCTCTCTTTTTAGCTATCAGTCCCAGGGAAGAAAGGTCTTATAATTGGTGGGTCTTTTCTCTAACCATGGGTCTAGTGTCCCAGAAAGATTCATGGAGGTTGCAGTGCTGGTCTAGATGACTAGGTCTCTCTTTCTGTTGGGGGCACATCCATTTCCAGATTTTGTCACTCTCACCATTATTCCAGCCCTTTTCTTATCCAACTGGTGGCAGCAAGTCAGAAGATCTGTGCCAAATCAGTAGAGGGTGGGTAAGGAGTTCTGGGCTAAAGCTGAGGATGAAGAATGAAGCCAAGACATTGGAAGAAGAAATCAAGGTCAAAGTAGAAGCAGGAGGAAAGATGTGAAGGGGGTAAGAAGGGCCAGAGGACAGTCAACAGCCAGGGGCTTCCTGACTGTTCAGCCTTACTACAGGAAAGAGGGAAAGGACCAGAGTTAAAACTTCTAGGACTGGAATCTGTGGCCCAGGCAAAATTTGTTGGGTCCTAATCTTCTGCTGATTGATATATGCTCCGAGGGAACTGAGCTATAGTAGGAATACGTATACAGACAGCTGTGTTGATGCTGCTGGGAGTCATGACCTAGAAGTTTATTTGAAAACCTGCATAAACATCTTCTATCCAAGGGAAAGTTTACGTTCCTTAGGCAAACAAGTTGTTGAAAATGATGTATTATGAACGTGTTTGTTAAGTCTGTGCTTGGACCATAAACTCTCCTCAAAACCCCAAGGTAATTTCAACTTCTGAGATTACTCTGCCCAGGAAATAACCACTTGAGTCTCCTTCTTCTGGTCTCCCTGTGGTAAAAATCCACATCTCCCTGGTGGGGTCTAGCTGCAGCACAATCTGCTTACAGCCCTGAGTATTAGTCAGACACAGTCTTTGATTCGAACTGCCTACTTTACCCCTTTCTTTCTCCATTTCTGCCCTACATAGGGAGACATAGGGCATGGCTGACCCTCTCTCACTCCAGTCTACTTACAAGGAAAAGAACCAATTAATAAGGCTCCTCAGGCAAAGGACATGAGAAATCTGGAGATTGATGCAGAAGACCTCTGAAAGAGCCTTCTCTGTAGGGTAGAGTCCCTTGCACATTATTATTATTTATTACTGGGCCTGTATTGCTATAAAGAATTCCCCATGAGGAACTCCCTCTACTAATGCATATGGGCTACTGCCCTGAAATTCATAGGCTTAAAAAATTGCCTAGGGCACTGAGGGGTTAAGTGACTTGCCTAGGGCCACACCACCAATTTGTGTGGTGGCAGGATTCAAATCCAGGCCTTGCTGACCCTGAGGCCTGCTCTTACTCATTGCACCACACTGCCTTGTTATACCTTGCACATGGTAGTAGGCCCTTAATAAACTGAATGAATTAAAGAACAGTAGCAGGATAGGAGATAAATAGGCCAGGAGACTTAAAGGAGGGAGTTGAGGAAGGAAGTTGGTAGAGAAGAGTGACTTACATGGGAGATGAAAGAAAATTGAAGGTCATATGGAGGGGAAGGAGACTACAGGAGATCAGGATTGGATGACCTCTTGTATTGGTGGAACTAGGCAGTTAGTTGGGCTGCCCTTCAAATCCCTTGGTGAGATGTATTGGGGAGAAATGACTGCCAAGTAGGGTGACAGGCAAAAAGAAAAGGCTCCAGAAAGAACAACCCCACAACTGGAATATGTGTCTCTGTACAGTTTATTTTACATGGAATGACTCTAAGCATCTGAAGTGTATACACCAACTTGCAGAAAAATATAAAGAAATAGAGTTTAAGTTCATGAAAATGCTTTATAATAATACAGAACAATTATATATAACAAATTCAGAATTAAAACCCTTTAAACATTTAATTCTTCAGTCTTAATACACACTAATGCCATTATGGGAAGAAAAATGAGTTACAGGTTCCAAAGAGATCAGAGTTGCAACAGTGTTACTCATAAATTATATTACATCAATTATATTTACCAATCTATGAAGCCAAAGAGGATGGAAAGATATAGAACGTGAAGTAAACACATTCATACCAGAATGAGTAATGCTGGCAGGAGACACAGCTTTTTAACTTTAAAAACGTATAAAGTATTTAGCAAAAGTTACAGAAAACAGACCAAACAAGCAAGTTTATTTTGTTAGAAAATTCCACTTTGATACTGGAAGGCAGTATGCTCATGTCTCCGGAATGACTGCCTCCCATCCAGCATTGATCCTGAGGGGAAGGAAGGTATAGAATCACTGGAAAAATGGAAAGAGTTGCACCCTGGGGACATTGCCTCCTGCCAGCAGCTGTAAATGCTCACTTTACTGACTTCCCTTCCCCCATTTCAGTTCCTTGCTCCCCACTAGTGTCTGCAGCAGAATTTCCCCTCAGTATCCCAAAGGAGGGGAGTGATGGTGGTGGTGATGAGTTGGAGGGAAAGAGAACTACACAGAGTTCTAAGGAAGGACCCCAGAGGTCATCCGATCTGAACTCATTTAACAGACAGAACCTCTAGTGTTAGATGAAGGATTCTTGGCATCAGTAGATACCAGATACTGGGGTGGTGCCTATTGTAAAACAAAACTAAATTAAACTATGTAAGGATGTGAGGAGACTTCCAGACAAGGCCCAGATGGTTCCTTCCAAATGCTCCAGTGTGTTAGAATAGGTGAAATTACTTGCCCCAATATAATACAGCAAACTATCAGCAGAGATGGTCCAAAATCCAAGATCCCCAAACCTCCAGAGTAAGTCATTTTCCACCAAGGCACGCTTACGTGTCTCACTCCCAACTGCCAACCAATTTAGAAGTACCCACATGTTCCTGAATTCTTCATTTCACAAACTTGATGATAGAAGGATCACTTGAACTGAAAGCATTCAGGGGAATAACTCAACACTTTCTCTTATATGACAGGCTAAGTAAGAGAGAGATATTAGGCTATCCTGACCATCTCCCAAGAAATAGCTCCCTACAGAAGCTCCTGAAAAGATAGACTGTTCCAAGTCCCAAAGCCTTAGGAAGGATGCTTTGGTTTCACTATCTGAATTATTTGTCCTCTAATACATATGCTGTGATTTGAATGAGGTGGTTTGCACTACACATGTGTACAGAGAGGGAGGACACACTGAACCTAACAGAAATTAAGCCAGAGGGCAACCTTGGAAAAGGCCCCCAAATTCCAATCCAGAACCCACTTGACTCCCTTGCCCTATGCATTGTTCTTCTTGATTCTGAGTATACCGAATGTTCTGTGTTCCAGGTTGTCTTCCAGAAATCACTTTTCATTAATGCCTAAAAGTATGATACAGATGAACATGGGGTAGAGGACAGGATATTTGGAAGGGAATGGGGTTATGTCAATCATTTTGAGTAATGTAAGGCAAAGATAACTGTTGAGAAATCCTGAAGCATAGAGAATCGTCTACATGAATTGTAGGTGTAGGTGTGGGTAGCTGAGTAGAAATGATTGTAAGCTGCCTGGTTTCTCTACCTCTTCAGAGATCTAGGTCTGGAGACCATAGCTTTTCCTGCATATGCCACAAAAGACACAGTAGGTAAAAGACCTAGGGCTAGGTCCATGGGGTGGGTCCTGTTGAGGAGTCTACTCTATTACTGATAGCACTATGGGCTCATTATTCTGCCTCTGCTTGAATTCTAAGAAGACTATTGCTTTCAGACTTTTCAGATTTCAAAGATGAAATGGGTTTCCTTTCCTAAGAGTTAGCTGGAAACTTTATAAAGACTGTGTCAGGTCAAAGATAGGGTGAAGGATCCCAGACGTAGTTTGGCCATGTGTAAAGTAACTTAAACAAAACTGGAAATGTTGCAATAAGGAGATAGTCTAGTTGGGTTCAATTCTCTTTTATATAACTGAGGGCATTAGGGCTCACAGAAATGAAGAGACTTACTCAAAGTCACTCAACTGTTTTAAAGAAGTGATTGGACAGGAACCCAGGTCTTCTGATTTCAGTCCTATGCTTTTCCTATTAACCATGCTACCTTTGGGGTTCACTAAATGTCCTTCAGTGGTACTGATACAGTGATAGTGATACAGATACCCAACTGGTCAGGCATTATAGCATAGGTAGAAAGATATATAGTGCCATGAAACACATGAAAAAAACAACTGGTTTTGGGTAAACCAGTGTTATAGGAATTTTTGATTACCTTTTATTATTTGGGACTCAGTGGCATTCTTTCTGCAAATTTCAGTTGACTAAAAGTCTATCCTAATATTAACCTCACATGATCGAATCCTTTCCTATAGGATGTGATAAGTTTACTTGTGTCCTTAAGCATTCCATAGATTAGAAGTCAGAGGCAGAATCTCAACTGTCCCTTACTCCTTGGTGACTTATAAATTCTCCTCTTCTTCAATTAGCCTATTTGTGAATCCTCTATATTGGTTTAATGTGTAATCTGATTTAATTTACCCATTGTTTGATGAAGTTTGTTTCCTACGAGGATGTGTGAGGTTATGGCTCTAACTAAGTTTGTTCAATTTTTATGACATTAAAGGAATTATGAGATTATGGATCTATTTTCTCTTTAACTTTTAGGGCCTAAGAGGAAAATACAAGATTGCAATAAGTGAAATAATTATTTTTCAGTCATTCTGACATACTTTTTTTTTTGCCTACTCTATAATAAGCCTTGTCAGAATCCTCATGATTGTTCAGGTTTTTTCTGAGGCCTCAACCTATGTTCAATCATAATGACAAAACCTAGGTTTTTACCTCTATAATTTCTGCATTATGGTAAATAGATATTTGGCAGCAATTACTCACTCACCACATGAACTTGAAGAGGAGATATTTCTCCCTTAACACTAGAGATGGAAGTTCAAGAATAAAATGTAGCTCATGAGTACTGCTATATTTGAAGATGAAGCATATTTACAACCAGAATGGGCAGGCTAGAAATATCTGTAAAAATGAGCAGAAGGTAGAGGGACCAGAAGCCAATCTCCAATGCAAATCATCCCTTTAAAAAAACTAGGTAGGGCATTTCTCTTCCTGGAGGCAGGAATATGGGAGAAGAATGATTGACAACAGGTATAGTAACCTTATTTTTCTTAAATGATGATATAGCAAGTTAATGTAATATACCTCTTAAAGCACTTAATTGTGCAAATTAATTAACTAGGGTCCTATTTACATTATTTAAAGTGAAGGCTACTCATTTGTTAGAAATAAAATAGTCTATCACTCCTTAAGGCTCACAGAGGCCAGGGGAAAATGCAAATACATGAATTTCACAGCTTGGACTTCCAAGTTCCAATGAACTCAGGCTAAGCCAATACTTTCAGTTGCTGACACCACTAATTGGGCATTTTATCTTAATTTTAAAAAGCAATTCTTTTTCAAAATACAAATGCGAACAAAATAAATACACGAATTTAGTAACAGTTTATGTTTGCTTCCCTCACTAACCAATGTTAGATTTCCTAACAAGGAAGTGGCTACTTGTGACAAGGGCCCAATAGATAAAACTAAGGGGATAAAGCATTGGTCAGTCAGTTAATAAAGTCTTGTCTTCACCTTCCTTTCCCTAACCCACCCCATTTGATTACACTGTCAATTTATATTAAGGATGTTGAAATCTTGATTATGAGTAATTAGGAAAAGAGAGTTATAAGGCATAACTTTTATTATCCGTGGTTGTAGGGTTAGTCTGCTTCTAAAGGGAGAAAACTCAACTGGAGGGTTGCTATGGCAACAGGACAATCCATGTTGAATGCCAGTGGCTTTGTTGGGGATTTACTGTTTTTTTTTTTTTTGTTTTGTTTTGTTTTTTTTACACATGAAGTATATCAATGTTCAGCAAGTTCCACAAAAAAGCTTTAGGAATACTATTCTTTATCATTTGAAGAAAGATCTGGGTATACAACAGGTCCTCAGTAAACACTTGTCTTATTTAGTATGCAAGCGCTCATAAGCTGCCCTCGGACAGCTCCATGGAGTTTGTGCTATTCATGTCCCTCAACACTCGAGCACCTTCCTCTGATTCTAATAGCCTAAATTTCTTCTACTTACGCAGCTTCACAATACTTCAGTATGATCTGTGATGGGGCACTGTCTACAATGGTATGGATGGCAACCCATTCATGCCTGTTCATGCTGTGTCTCTTATACACAATCAAATCAAAAAAAATTTTTAACAGTTAACAAACAATAAGATCCTAATTCCAAGAAATCTACCCTGCCCATCCTGATTGAAGACATCTTTCTGTGAACAGCAATTCACATCTTTTGAAGTAGACACTAAAACTTGCATGATAAATTGGAGGCAGGGTGAATGAAGCTGTCATTTTTTTGCGAATGCCTGTTTTATTAGTTTTCAAAAGAATGGTTGAGCTTAACTGCCAAGATCTAAATCCACATTACTATGCTATCACAAACGCTTCTGGCTTTTTAAGGAAGCAGAGCAGAGCCTGCTCTGTGATGGTACACAAATGACCTGCCAGTACCTTGCCAGCAGGAAGAAAAGGAAGAAAAGGTATACTGATCCTGTACTGAGAGAAAAAAAAAATTAGGTTCCCTAAAGACTAGAATGAAGGAGACTGAAATAGATTCAACTCATCAGAATAACTGGATTAATAATAGTATTACTTATCCTTTGTTTAGCACTTGAAAAATATGTTAACATACATTTACTGAGCCAAAGGTGACTCTTCATCCACTCAGTCCCCTTCAACCCTGCTCCTCCAGCCTACCCACCTCTAATTTTGTAAAAAAAAAAAAGAAACCAAGGAACTACAATCATATGAGCAGTAGCTGAGTATCACTGGATAGCCTCAAACTAATCAGCCATTCTTCCTCATCTTTGCAGAACATCAAACCACTGTGACTCTGATCACACTGCCAGCTTCCCAAAATTGACTTCCTCCCTAGGATCTTAATCAAAATAAAAAAGGTGACCACCTTTTTGTTAGTTTAGTAGCTTAGCCATCTTCCAGAAAAACAAAAGAAAACAAATAAAAAAAAAACCCCAAAAATGGCAGGAGTAGTGAGATACTCCGTGCTCATGTGAGCTGTGTAGAAGGATTCACAGGACATGACTAATGAAATACTATGGCAGCCTGAAAAAAACAACTAATGAAACCTTACCTTCCTGCCCTTGTATGGGGTGGGTGGATAATATTTAAGTACTACTTACACAGATGCAAATTTAAGGTCGTAAGCAGGGGAGAGAAAATATAGGCAATCCTTAGATTGCCCTAGATCTACCACTAACTGTGATCCTTAATTTCTTTAGGCTTCAGAAGGGCATCACCTTAGAGTACAACTATATGCTTACTGCCTGGGTAAGTCCCTTGATCTCCTGGGGCCCCACTTTCTTTATCTTAAAATGAGGGGATTGGACTACATAGCTTCCTAGGTTCTTTCAAGCTTTAGATCTTTGATCCTATGGTAGGGTAGACTAGATATTACCAAATTCCTTCTAGCTCAAAGAGTCTATGAAATCCAATGTATGAGCATTAAGATTTAATGATTGTGCCCCCCACCCTTAAATTATCACACTCACACACACATATGATTTAAGGGGACTTTGAGGGGCTAATTTTCAGGGCTGCTGCTGTGGGAGAGATGTACAACATAAAAATGAGGAAGAAGGCATCTAAGGTACTGAAGGTAGCAATGGCAAAAACATTGCAATCAGTCCCTGGCCTTTTGGCTTTGATTTTGTTGGGAACTAGTTCACAGAACTGAAGGTCAAAAATGAGTAACTGAAAAGAGAAAAATGAACTTTGTATAGTGCTAATTAAAGTGTAAGGGGTAAGGAGAAGCAGCCAAAGAGAAGGGAAGCGTCAGAACAGTTAGAATCATCACCAGGAAATCATAATGGGAGAACCATGTCCTCTATTAAAGAAATAGGCAGGGTTTGGGCAGATTCCACAGGTGAGAGACAAAGAGACTGAAAACTTTGAAGGATATTGTTGTCAAAGATCCGGGCTGGAAATTGATAACCAGTACCTGGTAAGATGGCACAGGATGGCAAATATGACCCAAGGGGCATTGAATAAGGAAGGGAGCCAAATACAGGATCCATATCATCACATCCTAAACCCAACATCCTGGACCTCAGCGTTTAAAATTCTCAATCACTTTGACGTAAGCAGATTCTCAATGCTAGATTGAGAACGATAAACATAAATGACGGTGTGAGGGGGAAGGATGCAGGTAATTCATAGCCTGCCCCTGAGATCTGCTCCCAAACCACTGGAATGAGTACGTTGAGACACTGAAAACCAAGGCCTTCCAAAAAGCTTCATATGGTGAGAATGGGCAATCCAAAAAAAACAAAAACAAAAAGAAAAAAACTGGCTTGGACTGTTGACTTGATATTTCCCGGAACAATAGAGCATGAGTATATAGGTCCAAAGGATTGGGAAGCACTGTCTATGCAGAAAGCAAACAAAACAAAAACATTTGTGGCAAATGGGAAAGGAAAAGGGGAACACTCAAAATTGGGGCCAGTTTGCCTAATGAGGTAGTTCCACCATTATCACTGTAGGTTTTAAAAGAAGGGCAGGGTCTGTTTTGTGGTAAGAGAAGCAGGTGCTTCTTTCCAGGATTCCCTCTTAGGCCCCAGGGGATGATGTTATGATGAAATGTTACAGAAGATGTCAATGGGAAGGGATCCCAGTACCAGACAGGTGACAAACAAAGGATTTGGATAGACAGAAGAAGGATGTTCTATCTGTGGGGGTACTTCCCTCCACCCAAGCCCACTTCATTTTGGTATTCATTTTGGAGGAAGGGGTTGACAACCTCTCCTAGCTGTTAGACTCCATGGAGAGGAGTAGCCCTTAGGCCTGCTGAGGACTGAGTCCTGGTGACTCCTCAAGAATCACAAGCATGTTATACTGCTGGGTCTTTAAGTATGTCACATGAGTATAAACAAGAGTACTGCCATATTCCAGAAAATAAAGTCTTCAGTTTGCTCTCAGAACAGCACAGGATGGGGAGTTGGGGACTTTAGTGATGGCAATAAAGGCAGAAGGTCAGCTTCTGAGCCTGGGGTGGGGAACGGAGACACTCCAACTACCTCACCAAACAGGACAATGGGTGGGATGACAGCACAAATCCTTCCCGGCATGACAATGGGCCCCAAAGAAAGAGCCCCTTCTCTTAGTGGGATTCCCAAACCCCAACAATAAACCCATTCAAGGAATGACTCATTCAGTCTAGATTTCCATATCCACAGGTCGGATATCTCCAGTTTTGTGTTCTTTCACCCACAGCTCCCTGTCTTTAGCAGGATCCACTTTCCGCAGGAGTTGATCCACAGGTTCTACTGTCTAAAGAAGACAGAGAGGAAAGGACAGTCAGGAGTCAGGTGTGAGGAGAAGAGGCTAGGGATCTCTTCTCTATTAGGAGCCTGGTGTAGTAAAAAGAGCACTGGACTTGGAGTTGGGAGACCAGGGTTCAAATCTCAGCTCTAGGGCCTATTAGCTGTGTGACTGAACAAATCACTTCCCTTCTCTGAATCTGTTTCCTCATTTATAAAATAGTAATTATACCTACATTTGTTGTTGTTCAGTCATTTTCAGTTGTGTCTGACTCTTCATGACCCATTTGGGGTTTTCTTGGCAAAGATCCTGGAGTAGGTTGCCATTTCCTTCTCCACCTCATTTTACAGATGAGGAAATGGAGGCAAACAGGGTTTAGTGACTCACCTAGGGCCACATAGCTAGCAAGTGTCTGAGGCCAGATTTGAACTCAGGAAGACTCATCTTCCTGACTCCAGGTCAAGCACTCTTATCTGCTGTGCCACCTAGCTGCTTCTTAATACCTATACTACCTTCTCATAAAGTATTTGGGGAAAAATGCTTTGTAAAACTTAAGGTGCTAGGGACATGTGAGTGATTATTATTAATATTCTCTGAACCAGATCCACATCACAACTACTGCTCCCTAATAAAATGTTCTGAGACTTCAAGGGAAAGAGTATTTTGAGGAATGGAAAGAAAAACTGGAAAAATAGTCTGAAGGACTATCTGTACCAGTCCTGACTATCTTAGCAAGTCATTTTTCCTCTCTAGGTCTTAGTTTCCTCCTTGAAATGAGGGGGCTGGACTGAGGTTCCTTCCAGCTCCAACTTCTTGTGATTCTATGAATATATGAATGCAGATGCCAAGCTTTTAGGAAATGATATAACAAAGATGGAGTCATGTTGGTCTTCCCTTTAGGCAGTAGGCCATGGTACACACTTCATCTGAGCTCCCTACTTCACTGCCTCCTGCAAAGCCACATGCTTTTGGTGTTGTAGGATGTAGCTGGGCCCACCAATGTTAAATGATTCCTTCACCCTAAAATGTCTCTGGATGAAAGTAGCTGTTAATTTCTTCCTGGATGCCAAATCAAAAACTAACAGCTTCTATCTGTCAGTGGTAGCTATCCACTGATGCTCTAATTTGTCCATGTCCAAAGTCCACCAATGTTCTAATCCCTTGGCATCCAAATTTTTTCAGTCTTCCAACACCACTGAGGACCAGATAGATATTAAAGAAATTTTGGGGGACTTGATTGTCCTGCATAGTTGGGTGATTTGTCTTTGCACAGTGCCTGGCACATAGTAGGCATTTTATAAATGGTAGGTGACAGACTTCCTAGCACAGTACTAGATAGAGTCTGGAGCTGAGTTTCAAAAGTGATGATACCCAGCAGGCTTGCTGCTGGTCAGAAAGAAGCCCTCAGCCCTTTCAGGTGACAAACCATGAAAAAAAAAATCACTTCTCTCCAGGCCTGTTTTCTCATCTCTAAAACAAAGATAACAATATCTGTATTACGTTCCTCACTGGGCTGTGAGGAAAATGCTTTATATTCTGTGTGGAAGTGGAAGTGATTTCCAAGTTCATATTATATGAGTTGAAAATGGCTTCTGGAAAATTGAGTTGATTCTGCTTTCATTGGATCGTGGATTTGGTGCTTTTAGACTATCTAGTCCAACTTCTTCATTTTACAGGTGAGGAAACTGAGACCCAGATAGTTAAGTGACTTGTCCTAGGTCACCGGAGGCCATAAGAAGCAAAGCTGGGATTCAAACCTCTGACTCCAAAGTCAGTATTCTTTCTGTTGCACTATGCTATGTTCTGCCTATTTATCATGGTAAAAGCAGATTCATTTGCTGAATATTTATCTGGTCTACCTTTGGGCCCTCAGTGCACTGATCTTGCTCCCAATCTCTCGCTGGTACACTCTCCTATTTACTAGGGCATAGAAATCTAAAGGTTAGGAACTCACACTTTGGTTGAACATGTCTGTCTCATGCCGCAGCTGTGTGTATTGGCAAAGATGTTGCCGAATCATCTCTACCCGTTCCACCTCCAATCTCTCGAGTTCCTGAAGGAGAAGAGAAGCTCTCTGGTGTCTCTGAACATTTTTCTGTGCACTTTAAGGTCATTTCAGTAGAGTCCAGTCTCATTGTCAGCCCTAGGATGCTAAGTATTGGGAGATATTTACCAAATTCTTGAACCTAACCAGATTCTACTGGGCTTTTGGATTCAAGAATTTTTGACAGATTATGAACTTTAGGCCTGTTCCAATGCTACATAGCTGAGAAGGAAATAAAGTCCCTGGTCTCCTAATCCATCAATCCTGTTCTAGCCCTACTTTTCTTTCTTCACAGTCTTAACCCTAGAGTTGACCATTTCACTGTTCTTTACTTCCTTGCCCCTTTGGACCATTCACACTTTGCCAATTTGCAGTTCTGGATCTCTCCTGTCACCTCTGTCTTCTACTTGAACAACCAAGTTATTGATTACCACTGGGAAAACTCACAACACTACATGGCCTAGATCCACCACAAATTCATGTTATCTAATCTCATTGCTTCATGGCAAAACTTGTATTTCTCCTTGATTGACTGTCTAAGAGCTTACTGCACCATCGTTCTTCCCAATCTCTCAGCCGCTATTGCCTCTTTTTCCTCCTGCTATTGAGGAAACATGCTGAGGTCCCTTCCACCCTTAAAAACCCTCTACTTGACCATCACCTCAAGTTATTATATAAACCCTCTTTCCTTTCACTACTAAACTCATAGAAAGAATACTCTACATTTGCTGTTTCTACATCCTCAACACATGCTTTTTAATCTTTTACAATCTGATTTTGACATTATCATTCTATTAAAACTGCTGTCTCCAAAATGATCTACCACCGGTCTCTTAATTCATCACAAATTGGTCTTTTCTTAATCTTCATTCTTTTTGGCTTTTGATATGGCTGACCACCCATCTTTCTGGACACTTTCCACTTCTTTGGCTTCCATCATCCTGTTCTTTTCTTCGTCTGCTCCTTCACAGACTCATTAGTGTGGGTGTTTCTTTCTGTCTCTCTTTCTCTGTCTCTCTATTTTTCTCTCTGTCTCTGTCTCTCTCACTTTTTCCTGGGAGATTTCGTAAACTCCCATAAACAATTCTTGTATCCACTCCATTTCTCTCCACTTATTATTACTACCTCAGTTTAAACCCTCCCCACTTCTCACCATACTATTATTCTCTATTCACTAAAATAAACTACTTGGTTTCCCTGCTTCCATTCTCTTTCCTCTCTAATCCACCTTCCACACTGCTATGAAAGTAATCTTCCTAAAGCACAGAGCTGATCACGCTAAAAAATCTTCGTGACTTCCCACTGCAAACACTGAGTTTGGCATTTCAGATCCTGCACAATCAGATTTCCATAATATCCCTTTTCATGTTCCAATCAAACTTTCCTACTGGCTCTTCCCTTAACTTTGTCTTTCCCTCCAAGTATTTACACAAACCTGTACCTGGAAAACATTCTTCTCCTCTACCTTCTAGAATCCTTTTTAGGCATAGGAGCATAAGATTCAAAGCTGAAAGGTATCTCAGAGGTCACCTTTACAATCCCCTCATTTTTTAGATGAGGAAATTAGGCCCAGAAAGGACTTGCCCAAGGTAGTAAATAGAAGAGATGAACCCAAGTAAGTGGAAGATTTTAACCCAAGTCCTCTGACTTTACAGTCTTCAAGGTTAACCTCAGATGCCACTTCCTCCATGAAGTCCTCCCTATTCTTTCAGTAACTTACGCTTTCTCCCTCTTCAATTTCCCTTGCACAATATTTAATTTGTGTACATGGTATATATTCCCAGGAAAACGTAAACAGGGCAGGCTCTGTTTCATTTTTGTCTCTGCCTAGTATGATGCCTTACACACAAGTGGAAGTTAAACATGTTTTTCAAAATGAACTTAATTGAGGCAGGACTCAAAATCTACAGTTTGTATTAGAGAATGGTTGGATTGTGGGACATCCCTGGGGAGCCTGATTTCTGGGTAGCTCCTTGTTTTGGACATATGGGGGGTTGTATGATCAGAATTCATGCTATTCAGTGCACAACTAGGGCATTACCAAAGTGATTAACTAAAGGGGTGGGAATGGGGGTGAGGGGGTGAGCCTGGGAACTAATTAGGAGATTAACTGGGGGAAAACTAGGCCACTATCCCAGGTGGAGGCCTCTAATCTCCTCTGACTGGCTGACACTTTGAGAGGATAGGACAGCTGGATTAATAATGGCAGTTTTTACAAGGTGTGACTATGAGAGCTCAGCACCATAAAACATGTCCTTTCAAAATGATATGATATTAAATCCACTCCACTGATCCCACACTAGGAAAGTCGATACCTAAGCGCTAACCTCTGGCCAGAAAAAAATTAGAGAAGGATGGGGATAGTGATAAGGGAAACTGTACCCTCAGGATGGTCAGAACTGCTCTCTATAGTCTGAGTCCTTTTTAGCAGGGAGGGGGTTTTGTGAGTCATATTGCAGAGTAGTTAATGTTGAAAATTCTCTGAGGTAACAACTGATCCCATGTTTGCTTTCTTGTTCCTAAAAAACCAATTTCCATCGTTGGGCTTGAGGTCTAGCAGACCCATCCCTTTGCCTCTACTGGGCATCACAAGAATATGGCACATAGATATACTCTCCTTACTTGGGGCTAGGGGCAGTCACTTTACTCTTTCCCCATTAAACAAGTTCTGCATTATGCCAAGACCTAGAACTGCCAAGAGGCATCCTGGGAAGTTACTGTTACTGCTCTGAGCACAGGTGGGAGGTGTGATGTAGTTCAGCCAGTCACTAGGGAAAAGAATCCCTTAAAAAAAATTATAGGTTTCAAGGACATGTATAATCATTCTATCAGGTGGTTTCCTTTACCTATTTTGGGGAAATCTAATTTACTGGGGGAGGATGTTTTGGTATTTGGGGAGAATCAATGTTGTGTCAGAACAAAAATCTCTCAATAAATAAAAAATAAGGACTTAGTGGAAAAAAAAACACTGGGTTTAATGTCAGATGATCTGAATTCAAATGTTGGTTTTGTTTCTCACTACTTTGTGACCTTGGGCAAGTTACTGAGCCTCAATTTCTTTCTTCTTCTTTCTTTCTTTTTTTTTTTGCTTTTTGGCTAGGCAATGGAGTTAAGTGACTTGCCCAGGGTCACACAGCTAGTAAGTGTCAAGTGTCTCAAGTCAGATTTGAACTCAGGTCCTCCTGACTCCAAGGCCAGAGCTGTATCCACTGCGCCACCTAGCTGCTCCCTGAGCCTCAATTTCTTATCTAGAAAAGAGGACAGACTTGATTAGTTGATCATTAAAGCTCCCTTTCAGTTCTAAATCTTATGCTCATTTAGTAGTAAAAGATTCATAGACTTGTAAAAAATTATCTTAGGCTGATGACTGGATTAGATGATTCCATGGGAAAAGGACAAATGACCTTACATGTAGATCCACAGCTTGGATTCTATTATAATAGATAAAGTTCTAGCCTCCCCTTACTGTTCTGTTAAGAACTCCCCTGAGCTCCAGTGGGATGGGGCCTGTAGCACAGGTCACCACACCCTTCACTAAAGAGGATGTCACCCACCCCCTGAAGGGAGTTTGGAGGGTAGTCACAGATCCATACCAAGGTGGTTGTCACCATCTCTTCAAACCACTTAGACTGAGCCTGATTATAGAGATCCACACAGCGCATCAGATCATCTCCTGAAAACACAGAAGGAACAAAGTTATTTTTCCTCCATGGCCCTAAACACAATTATTTTCTCCACCTCTGTGGCAATCTTTTCTCTTCTATCCATCGCCATATAGATAGTGGGGGCTCAGAGTTAAAAGGGTGCTGACAGGCGATTATTGAGGTCAGTGATCCAACATAGACGGTGGTGCATAGCACTAAACATTAAGGATTAGATTTACTATAACTTGACATGTATCCCTCATTAAATGAACTTTTCCAACAATCCCCAAGGCCTACCAATCTTATTCAGTTGTTCAATAATTATTCCTTGGCTCATTTAGGTAAATTGTTCCTTGCCTCAGCTGGGTAATATACCATGTTAATGTGACCAAGCTGACAGTTTCAAATGAGTTTTGCTCTGTTCCCTTGTCACAGGCTGTTCTACTTATCACAAGGGGGACTGGGAAGAAGAGTACGCCTGGACCAATTTCCATTACTAGGAAACGCAAGGAATAGGTCTCTTAAGGATAGGTTACCATAAGTCTCCTTCATAATATGGTAGAAAGAAAACCGAATCTAGAGTTAAAAGATCTGGATTTGAACCCTGGCTCTGTTATTTGTTACCTGTGTAACTGTATACAAGTCATTTAATATATCTAAGCTTCACTTTCCTCATTTGTAAATTGAGAGTGTTTCCAGTTCAAAATCTGGTGATCCTAAAAACATAACACTATGGTTCCTCAAGTTTCTGGGACATTTGTGGTACTATGGAATGGTATCCTGAAGGGCATGGAACTAGACCCTATTGGAAAAAAAGGAGAATGAAATTTATTGAAGACTCAGATCTTCTCAGCTCTACTGGTTTTGACAACTCATTAAAGGAAGTATCATTAATTGGCAATTTGTGGCACATCATTGTAATTACCCAGGGTTAATGAACAGAAATTTTAGAGGTAGAGGGGACCTTGAAGATCAATTAGCCCAACTGTCTCATTTTGCAGATCATAGATTTAGATCTCTGGAAGATGTCTTAGAGATCATCTAGTTCAGGAAACTGGGCCCAGAGTGGTTGTGACTTGCCCAAAGACACAATATAGTAGGGGGCATACCTGGGATTTGAACCCAGATCTTGACTCCCAATCCATAGGTGCTTGCTGGCTTCAGTGGTTTCTTTTGGTTTCATTATGGCAGTTGCTTTAAATGCCCATAAAAAAATAGTAGTCTATCTATGCCAATGTCTGTTTCATTTTACTTACAGTTATTTTTTGGGGAGGGATGCATTAATAAATCAAGCTGAAGCTATTTAAATGGGTCAAATTGGCTGTTTTCTTTGCATTTTTATCCTTTCTACTAATTTGGCATTAGTTTTGATTTTTGTTCTAACACACTAATGGTCTAACTGCATTCAGATAGACGATTCTAAAATTACTTTCACAAGCGGTGATAGTTTCCTTTTATTTTCATGTGGTCATTTTAATTTTAAAATGGTGAGACCCAGACAGAGGACTTGCACAAGGTTACACAAGGGTCAAGTGAAAGTGTTGGGATGGAAAGCTGGATGTTCTGACAATAAATTCGCTGCCCTTCTCATCATATCACTTTTCTGTATCTTGTAATTGGTGGCATTTCATCCATTTTATCCCAGTCTTCAATATCACTGTATTTGAGAGCAATAAAACAACACACACTTTTTATGAATCAACCTTTTCACAAAGTCAGTCTGGTCTTCCAACCTCCTGACTTTAAAAAAGATTGAAGGGATTCTGTACTTCTGGGGATTAGCTAATTTTCATCACTGGGGGGCAGTAGAGACTTCATTTGAAGAACCAGAGAAAATCAGGCCAGGGGTAAAGCCTGTTTTTCTCAGTTGCATCTGGTCTCAGGAATTGTAATATAAGGAGTTAGTCAAAATCAAAGCCAAACCAATACTTGCTTAATTCAAGGCATCATACTTGGGCCTTGAGATACACATATTCACATTTATTCAAATTTGTACTATTTGAAGTGATAATTATGTAAAATATGGTAATTGATTCTAGCCCAAAAGAAATATGCAGTGTGAATTCAAATAGGTACCATTTCAAGGAGGTGCATTATTCACACTAATTGAACCTAGTGGTACTTAGGTCTGGGAAGTGGTCCTTTTGTCTGGCTGTGAACATCTCCTGGTAGGGAGGATGATGGAGGGAGGAAATTTCCCTGGGTCCTATTCCCTAATGCAGATGGTAAATTTGCAAAAATCCAATCTTGTCAAGGCAATGAGGAGGTGTCTGTCCAAGATTCTCTTTCTTTTTTGGCCGCCTACATTCTTCCTGACAGCTTTCCTCATCACAGAAGAACTCCCCAACTCCCTTTAACACCAATAAGACCAATCTGAAATTTAATCTATAGGGACAAGCTTACTCTGAAGCATCTGGTTTCCCTTCTCTAGAGTAGGACTGCAGGACTGAGAGAAGAGGGTGAAATATTCTGGGAGGTAAGGATTAAGTTTCCTTTGGTCTCTCCATTTTTTCCCTTGCTGCCCCTATTCTCTCATTCCAGTCTCCTCATCTCAGGGACTCAATCCACTTACCCATCAAAGCTGATCAGAATCTCCAAAACATGTAAAGGAGAGCAGGAAAAAAATAGAACTTTTTACTTAAACGAAGGTATGATTCTTAACCTATAGCAAGCCTTGGGAACTCACCAGCCTGCGTAGACTTCCGCCTGGCTTTCTTAATGTCCTCTTCAGTTTTGTTGCTTAGTTTGATTTCTAATTGCTGGGTTTTCATCTCCAGGTCTTTCTGCCTCTCTGTAAGGGCTTTCCGTGCCTTAGACCAAACAGAACAGAAAGGGAAAATGTAGCTCTTAAGAGATATAGAAAGATTTCAAAAGGTCACATAGTCCATCCTTCTTTTCAGCAGATAAGTTATGTTCCCCATTTTATAGATGAAGCCACAGAGTGCCCCAGAGAAGTTAAGTGATGTTTCCAAGGTTACACAGCTACACGTGGCAGAGCAAGTAACAGAGAGAAACCAGGTCCAGAAGTCCAGTTTGAATTCTCTTTCTGTTTCACTATTCTATGAAGTCTGTCAGAACCTAGATCTAGACACACCTAACCTTCTGTGTGCCAAGAATAACTTAATTGAATAGCAGGTGGTTGGCAGAATTAGGGATCATGTGTTCAGAGATAAATGTTACTCTAGATTCTGGTTCCGAATCTGCCACTAATTTGCTACATGGCTTTTCCAATATACTCAATAACTCAGTGTGTGATAATGATGGTAATAATAGTAATAGCTAACATTTACATAGTGCTTACTATGTGCCAGGCACTGTTCTACGTTCTGTACAGTTATCTCATTTGATCCTCACAACAACCCTGGGAATATTATCAACTCCATTTTACAGATGAGAAAACTAAGTGAAGTGACTTGCCCTGGGACATACGGCTAGTAATTATACAAAGCTGAGATTTAAACTCAGGTCTTCCTAACTCCAGGGCTAGTGTTCTCCCAAGTGCGTCATCCTGCTGATCCTCAGAAAACATAAATTATTTAGAAAACAATTCACTATTATCTAGGAAAACTGGAAAGCAGTCTGGCAGAAATTAGACTTTCACCTACCTGTTATGCCCCAATCTATAATAAATTCAAAATAGATATATAGCCCTAATATTAAAGATCATACCATTAAAAAAATAAGATATGAAGACGATATCTTTTCTCCTGTAAAATGATGGGGTTAGACTAAGAGAGTGCTGATATCCCTTCCAGTCCTGACATTTTATGGTTGTATGATTCTTTTCGTTGTATAACTCCTTGTATATGCTCCAAGCGGGAGCAAGGTTCTGGGATGCATTTGAAGCTTTTTCCAGGCCTACTCTCCCATCACTATTTTGCCTTTATTTGTTTCCTTGGCTATTGGCTATTGGCTATGTATTTTCACTCTTTTGCCAAGTTACCTCCTACCACCCCTAACATCATCAGATCTACACCCCCTGCAGCCACCACAACTTGTAGTGGAAGAAGGTACTTATAGGAAAAATTATCTGGGTCTGCCTATCTCTCCCAACTACCCCAGAAAGAATAAACCTATTCCCATTGCTAGGAAAACAACCAAAAACATATGCCTTACTAATGGGGAAGGGGCTGTCTTCCTAGATAGCATAATCTTATACTAGATTTGGGGTCAGAGGACCTGAGTGTGATTCTCTCACTGCCATTACTTGCTACCTGTAGGACCTTGGGTAAGTCAATTTAACACAACAGGTGTTCAATAAATATTGTTGAATGAGTGCAGGAGATACTTGGGAGAGAATTGCTCTAGCCTACTTCTATTGGCTCTGGGTTGGGGTATATCAAGGATCACTGTCACTTCACTGTGTCACTGTGGGACTCTGGGAGCCTTGTCTGCATGACTTCAACACAGGCAGTTTTTCCTGGGCTTCTCCATCCACCATTTATAATGTTTGCCAAGCAGGTGATCCTTTCCCTGCTCTGAGACAGCCTACCTTCTCCACCGAGGCATATCGACTGGCCAGTTGTTTCCTCAGATCAGCAATATGATGGTCGCACTTCTTCATGTCTTTCTTGAAATTTTCACGGAAATTCATCAGGGGCTTTTCCACTTCACTGTGGAGCTGGTGGGAGGAAAACAATGGGAAGGGGAGAGGCTCAGTGCTCCAGGGTAACAGTCATTCACCTTGATTAGAAGAATCCATAAAGAGAAATTGTCCTCAGCTCTAGCTCCCGTGTAATGTAGTAAAAAGAGTACTAGACTTGAAATCTGGACACCTAGGTTTGAATCCTAGCATTCAACACTTACTAGCAATGACCTTAGAGACTAACAGCAAGTTAGTCTGAGCCTCAGTTTTCTCATCTGTAAAATGGGCATAATATTACAAAGGTGGTTGTTAGGAACACAGTTTGTAAATCTTAATGTTCTATACGTCAGTCATTATTATTATACCTATATTATAATGCAATTTAACATTATTATCTACTGAAACAGAAATACCAGGAGCCAAAGTAGAAATGAATATACCAACTTATAGTACACTCTTGAGAATTAGACCAAAAACACCTGGGAAATTGTTACATTTTCTTACCAAATTAATAATATAATTAACAGTATAGTAATATTATTAATAATATAACATTAAAAGTAATAATTAGCTGCATGACCTTGGGCAAGTCACTTCTCTTCTCTGATCATCAGTTTCCTCATCTATAAAATGAGAGGAAGAGGACTAGATGCTTACTTCAGCCCTGGAATTTACATACTGGAAGTTCTCTTTGTTCCTGTGGCATCTTCCTCTTCCCAAAACCTCCACAAGAAAGGCACTCAGGTCAGCCAAGTTTCACTTTTCTCCAGGCTATATCTTCAGACATTCTCTACCATGCCCAAGGCAAGGCTACCCCTCTTTCCCCCTTCATGTCACACCCCCCCTTTCTGGCTTCCTTAATGTGTTGCCTTCCACCATTAGTATGTAAGCTTTTTGAGGGCAGGGACTGTCTTTCTACTTGTATTTATATTCCCAGTGCTTGGCACATACCAAGCACTTAATAAACGCTTATTGACTCTAGCAGTCTTTGGTTCCTCCTCACTGTCTGATTTCCTCTTTTCCTTTTCTTCTTCCTGCATTCCTTCCCTTCTTCCCCCTAGGAGTAGAGACTTGCTATGGCACATGTATTTAGTCGTCATAGAACAGCATCACTAACAGAGGGCTACTGAAACAGAAATGACAGGAGCCCAAACTAAAATGAATGTACCAACTTGCAGTGCACTGCCCTCTTGAGAATTGGACCAAAGACGCTTATAAACTCTGATTTAGAGATGGGTGAATAACTCAATTGACTTGAGGAAAGTATATCAACATCTTTGACTTAGAAAGAATTAAAATTGATTTTTTGAAGTATGGCAAAAATATAGGCTCCTGTCCAGGGAAAGAGTTTACACAGGAATGTATTTGCCTGGTGTCTTATCAATCCAATCAGAAGGGCTTTAACTTGAAGAGGAAGGGGAAGGGAGGAAGTGCTTCAGTTACATCTACCATTCGATCCCATGGAGAGCAACTGTAATGTAGGAAGAGTGCCCAGAAATTCATGAGAGAAGATCCAAGCGAGGAGCCAGGAATAAAACCCATGACGTCATATGTCAGTATGAATCAGCCACCACTCAACTGCTTGAAATTCTCCACGCTATATTTTTTGCTCTTTCAAGAGGTTCATAAGAAAGACAGAACATGGTCTTGGAGCAGATCAAAGGTATAGAAAGAAGGTTCTAAGATTCACAGCCAGAGATCTGAGCCCAGTTAACATCATTTGGGCAAGCATTTGATTAAAAGCTTTTAACACCTGCAGGGAGCATATCAAGCTTTGGAATTTTAAAGAAAAGAGGGAACTGAGGTCCCACCTTGGGGAAGAGAAGACCTAAGTTGGTGGTAGAAGTGGTTGACAGAGTGGGCTGGTAGAGAGAGTGGTGGGAGAGAAGACATGATACTTGTCTTTGATGATTTAAAGAGTTGTTAGGTTCTGCTTGGCCTCAGAGAGAGAAGAACTAGGAACAATGGGTAGAAAATGTTAGAGGCCAATTTTAGCTCTATGTAAAGAAATACTTCCTAACAATTAGAGTGGTCTGAGAATGGAATGGATTGCTTTAAGGAATAATGACTTCTTCCAAAGGACTTCAAGTGTAGGCCAGATGACAACTCCTGGGGAATGTTATGGAGTAAGATTAATGCAAGTATAAAGTACCAAGCCTGAATTACAGAGAGTCAAAAAATTTCTGATTCTAAGGAAAATCCAGTGTGAGTTTAAAAGTGTTTTTTACCTAGCCCTAAGAAAAAAAACCAGAATTATTATAAACAATGATTAATAGTGATTGAAGTTTGGGGCAAGAAAGTATTTCAACCATGTCATATTGTTTGTATATTTTCAAATTTTGTTCTGTTTTATTTTGACTATTAGCAAAACAAAAGTAGTGACAATTAACTAGTGATTTATGCTTTCCTATTAACATAAGTTATATCTTAATAGAAAAAACTAATATACTAGATCATGAGCTAAACTATATGGAGATTATTTACATTTCCTTAAAATCTTTTTCTATATGGTATTTTGACTTTAGTTTGAAAAACAAAAGTAGTACTGAGGACTCACTAGTGATAGTCTTTCCTTTTAACAAAGGTTATATGTTTATAGGAAAAAAAATATAATTAACTGGATCGTGCACTCTTGCTAATCATCATAGTTATTCATACTTTGGGTTGGCCTATTTTCAGGGCCCATATTAAGAGACAACACTTAAGAGGAACCAAGCAGCTTTTAGAGCATAAGACCTTAACTTTTGTCTGTGGACTCCTCAGAATACTTTTTTAAAAATCCATAATGAAAGGAAATGCTAAATTTCAGTTGTGAAATAGTGAAAATAAAGATGTATTTTTTTTTTCTTTCCAAGTTCAGGAATCCCTTGAAATCTTTCCAAGGACCTTAGGTTAAGAACCCTTATTGTACAGGATTGTTTTTTTAATAAAGTCACAGCAACAGACATATTAGAGTTGGCAGGCAAAATTTTGTCTGCATCTTACCTTTGCCCCTTACATTCTATGTTTTTTCATAATTTGTTCTATCTGCCTTATTAAGCTGAAACCTCCTTTCAGGCCATAGACTGTCATTTTCTCTTTTACCTTTGACTCCCTGGCACAGGATCTGGCAAGTAGTAAGTACTTAATTCAGTTCAATTCATTCAACTCATTAAACATTTGTTAAATCGACACCAGGGTAATGCAACTCTCCTATGCTCAACCCTCTTTGTTTGACAGGTATATGATGCAGCAAAGAGTCTCCAGTCATATAGTTTTACTTAATGGAATTAACAAGTTCCCCATTTAAAATGAAAACCCTACAGGGAAGGTTGATATAAGATCACAGAACTTAGAGATAGGAGACCTTAGAATCATCTAATCCAACCCCCTCATTTTAGAGATAAGGAGACTGAGGTCCAGGGAGGGTGACTTGCTTAATATCACACAGGTGGTAAATTTCAGAGGCATAATTTGAACCGAGGTTCTCTGGCACCATAGTTCTTTTCACAGTGTTCTTTTCACAGATGTTTCCATTATAGGTTGAGACTATAAGTCATTCACATAGCACTGTTAATTATCTTGATCTCAGATATACTTCCCTCCTAACACCTACCTGAGCTTAATATGAAAGAGAGTCTAGGCCAGGGGTGGGGAACCTGCAGCCTCGAGAGGCCACATGTGGTCTTCTAGGTCCTTTGGTGCGGCCTTTAGACTAAGTCCAAGTTTTATAGAACAATTTTTTTTTTAATCAAGGGAATTTGTTCTGTGAAGTTTGGATTTAGTCTAAGGGCTGCACTTGAGGACCTAGAGGGCCTCATGTGGCCTCGAGGCTACAGGTTCCCCACCCCTGGTCTAGGCACTTTAACAGAAGGACTAGAAAGGAGGAGAATTTTGTAGCAGTGGGTAATATGGGCCACCACAGAAAGTGGTGGAGGTGAATCAAGGGAGTTTTGAACAGCCAGAAGGCAGCATGAGAGAAGTGGGCACCTGAAGAGCTGGGTCTAGAAATCCTAAATGACAGTATAAGCTTTGTCCTTGTTTGTCCCATGTGAGATACGCAGAAGGGTGCCACAGACAAACTTATATCATATCTACTGCACATGATAGATCATGCACTTCTTATAGAATCTAAACTTGAAAAAGACCTTAGAAACAATTCAGTGAGCTCAAAGGTAAGTATCAGAGCCTATATTCAAACCCAGGTTTCCTTGATTCTACAGGTATTCGGAGGGCTTTGGGGGAGAGCTCAAGCAAGTCACTGCTTTCACTCCATCATCTTGCCTCTGCCCTCCTTGACTCTAAATTCAGGGCTCTTTCTTATCGTTTCACCAACTGAAAATTTTTCCTTGGGGAAAATGCCATCCTAGGTAGACCTAATGGCTGACCTATCCCATGAAAAAGTGGAAACTACAAAAGGTCCCTTTAAATATCAAAGACATGTTAGAACCTAGTCCTTTTGGGATATACCTGGGGAAGGGAGAGGAACCCCCTTGTTACCCCCCGGAGATGTACATATCTGACATGATGGGATGTAGAGAGGAAGGTCACCTTGGAAGAAAACTTGAGATGGACTTCAGCCTCATCAGCCAGACTTTTCTTTACTTGGGCCCAGGCTTCTCCTAGGGAGCTGTAGAAACAAAGAAACAAATAGTAGGGTTGGGCCTAGAAGAGAATTACAGTATTCTCATGTCCCCCATAAGGGACATGCTAATCTCAGAGACGCAAGAGTAGAGGGTTTGGAAAACCATGACACAGAGGCCAGGTAAGCTATAGAAATCAAGAGTATAGTAAATATACAAACACTAGAGGGCAGAGAATTTGTCCAAAGGTTCATTTAAATAGCCAATGCTGGTGCAGCTAGGTGGCACAGTGGATAGAGCACCAGCCCTGAAGTCAGGAGGACTTGAGTTCAAATCTGGCTTTAGACCAAACACTTGACACTTACTAGCTGTGTGACCCTGGGCAAGTCACTTAACCCCAACTGCCTTGCAAAAAAACTCCAAAAAACCAAATCAAAACAAAACAAAACAAAACAATAAATAGCCAATGCCTAGGGGAGATGTACAGGGGCTGAGAGTAGAATGAGGAAGGTGATCAAATGGGCAAGCAAATGAAGAAAGGCTTAGAAACTTAATCAGCACAAGAAAGAGGTCAATAAAGGAAAATGGAGGCAGCAAGGAAAGGACCCTGACCATTTTTTTGATCCTCAGGTGTCTTACAATCCTCTTGCTCTGGAGAGAACTAATCCAGGGTAATCCTGGAATGGATGCTTTCGAGCCAATTTATAAGAAACCCAATTTCATTATTTTATAGTTAACACTTGGTAGGTTGTTTTTTGCTTTTGTTTTGGAGGGAGGGAATGTTGGTTTCTTTTATTTTATGAAACCAAATCTATTGCTTACTTTATTTACTAGATTCAATTCTAAGTGACTTTTTGGCCATTTTGACAAATTGGATTTATCCCCAAAGAATGAAAACCTGCAACCACTAATGATTTAAAAGCTCATGCTGCAAAAACTTGTAATTGGGGAAAATCACCAAATAGGAATTCTAGAAACGTGAGATTGAACTACAGCATGGTTGGATTGAATGTGCAGTCTCCTGAAGTGACTTCTTTCAGAATAACAATGACAACAATAAGCATTTATATAGTGCAAAGCCTTTTACAAATATTATTTCATTTTATTCTGACAACCTTGGAAAGTAGGTGCTATTAGTATTCCCATTTTCAAGACTGGGAAACTGAGGCTGAGAGAGGTTAAGTAACTTGTGCAGAGTCATACAGCCAGTAAACGTCTAAGGTTGGATTTGAACTCATCTTCTTTACTCAAGGTTCAGTGCCACCTACCTAGCTGCCTGAGCAAGGTTCATTTGTAGGAGTTAAAACGATTCTGTTTGTCATATTACTTTGAGTTACAGCTCAACAATAGAAGGAGGAGGATCAGTGATTCTAATTCCTAGCTCTGAGCACTCAACTATCACATAAAACATTGGACAAGGACATATGGGACAAATTATTCTAAAAGGGGACTGGCCAAGCCTAGCCCTTATGGTCGTGATATAATTGCTAAGTGCACTTCAGAGTATATGCAGCTATGTCTGCATCTGGTCTACTAAGCACATGCTGAAGAAAGAGATGGACTTTTTATTGGCTGCTGAGTGGTAGTAGGAGGTCATACAACAAGACTGCCTGGGGCATCTTACTCCTTTTTCACTTCTCTGGTGGTAAGCAAGAAGGAAAAGCTACTGTAACCCTCATTCGATAGGGCAGCAACCTCAGGCCCACTCACCCAACAGACGAGTTGTCCTTCAAGGTAGTCTGCTGTAGTAACTTCTACCTCCACTCAGCAGCTAACAGGAAGATTATCTCTTTGCCACATGGTTTGCAGACCAGAAAAAAGTCATACCTACACATACTCTGAAACCTACATGGAGACTACATCATCCAATAAGGGTTAGACTTGGCCAGTGCCCTGTTACACTGTCACACTAAGCTTCTCCTGGATCCTTCAGAAGCTTCCTTATCTCTAAAAGAATATATTTAGTCTATTAAGATGTTGTTTGTCCTTTATTTTCAAAGAGGACCAATGACATTATAGGGTGATATCTTGACTTGTGCATGAATTGGATTTAAGTGAGGCAGAGTTGTACAAAGTCATCAGCCTCACTCTCTCTTCCAAAGTCATTGAAGTCCAATGACAAGACAAAAATCAGGATAACTGGAGATGGCCCAGGATGCAGTAGAGAGGCTCGAGGCCAACCTCTAAGTGCTCCACAGCAACATTGGAATAAATTATTGTCGTCTGCCCATTCTGCCTGAGGGGAAGTCTTCACATGCTTGAGATAGACATCCCCCTAACTCACTGACAGGTTTGAGGCCTGTCGGTTACCCTCAACTTGGTTTAGCTCATCTGCTGAGAAGGTTTTACCATGGTGTGGCTGCTGCACATGCTACAGCTTCCTGGAGCCACATGTGAGAGTTGGGTGACAGATGGACACCAAAGGCAGGTGAGCAGCCCCTGAAAAGAGCTTGGCAGGCCCTCACACCAGAGGTACTAGTCCTCTCTGAACACCCCATGTACCATTTACTAAATAGGATGTTAGATGTAACCTTTTGTTAGAATATATGTCTAGTGGCCATATCTTGAATCTGAAAAAACTAGCTTTTGGTAGTTGCTCAATAGAAATTAATTACGTTGAAAAGGTTCATTAATATTTTACTTAACATTCCTTTTCTCATCTGTTTTCTATTTTGCATCACCATTTATAAACAATGAGTTTCACCAAATTCACAAGTGAAATCCTCACTGCCTTGCTCCATGCTTCCTAGACCTCTTATCTTAAACCAAATCCATAAATCCATACTAAACATTAAGTTGCTTTAATTCATATCTGTCACCCAAAGAACAGTCTAACAAAGTATAGAAAGCCTCATTACAGAGTAACAGAATTTCAGAGTTAGAGGAGACCTCAGAGGCCATCTAACCCAACCTATACCCAACTTAGAATCGCCTTTACAATACTCCCACCAAATGGTCATCCAGCTATTGTTCTGAAGACTACTGGTAAAGGGGGAACACGCTACATTGCCGGGAAGACCAGCAATTTTTGCATAGCTCTCATTATGAGGAAGTTGTTTTTTTTTCCCCTCACATAATCAGATTTGTCTTGAAACTTTTTTACATTGCTATTAGTTCTGCTTCCCGTGGCCAAGTGGAATAAATCCAATCCCTCTTCCACAAGAGACAGCTCTTGTGTTCCCCCAAATGTTCTCTTCTCTAAACATTTCTAATTCCTTCAACTGAGACTCGACCTATAGGCCATTCATTTTCCAAGTTATTTTAATTCGTAAACTATTGAATGACCTATTCTGTTCCAATATTGTACCTGAAACTACCAGGGGGCTGGGCCGAGGCAGCCCCCAACCCAAAGCAGGCTGCTATGAATATTTTTGTACATGTAGTTTTTTTATCTCTCTCTTTTTTTTAAAATGTGTTTATTTAAATCTCTCTGGGGCATATGCCTTCTAATGGCATCACTAGGTTAAACAATATGGATAGTTTAGTGACTTTTTAAGGTATAGTTCCAAACTGCTTTTCAGAATGGCTAGACTAATTTATAGTTTTACTAGCAATGCATTAGTGTGCCTGTCCTTCTGTAGCTCCTCCTATAATCCTCATATGCCTTTCTTTAAAAAAAAAAATCATCTTTGTCAATCTGATAAGTGGGCATTTTAATTTGCATTTTCTTGTCATTAGTTATATGAAGTATTTTTTCCTGTGGTTGTTGATAGTTTTGATTTCTTCCTTTAAAAACTACCTGTCTCTATCCTTTGACCATTTATTTATTGGGTAATGACTCTTATTTGAATCAGTTCCCTCTAAAGCTTGGATATCAGAACTTAATCTGAGAAACTTGCTATAAAGATTTTTCTCCTAGTTAACCATAACTCTTCTAATTTTAACTGCATTCATTTTGTTTGAGCAAATTTAAAAATTTTATCTAATCAAACTTACTCATTTTCTCTTCTGTGACCCTCTTTATCTCTTCTTTGGTCAAGAACAATTTCCCTATCCATAACTGTGAAAAGCATTTCCTTTCTTTTTCCTCTAACTTGTTTATGATGTGAACTTTTATGTCTAGGTTCTATATCCATTTGGAGCTTACTTTCATAAATGGTGTAAGGTGTTGATTTAAACTTAATTTTGCCAGGTTGCTTTTCAGTTTGACTAGCAGTTTTTGTTGTTGTTGTTGTTGTTGTTTTAAATAGTGAGTCCCTTACCCCTGTAGCTGAGGTTTGGCATTATCAAACATTATGCTACTATGTTCTCTTGCTTCTATATATTTGACTACTAATTTGTCCGACTGATCAATTTTTAAATTTCTTAACCATTATCAAACTGTTTTTTATGACTCCTAGTTTGTCGTGTCGCTTGAAATTTGTTACTGTTAGGTCCTCTGCTTCCTAATTTCTTTTATTATTTCCCTTGAGAGTTTTGCTTTTGTTCCTTCATATGAACTATTAATATTTTTTTAACTCCCTAAAAATCATCTTTTGGTAGTTTGACTGGCATGACACTGAGAAAATAAGTTAATGTAAGTATTGTTACTTTTATTATACTGGCATAGCCCAACCATAAGCAATTACAATCTCTCCAATTATTTAAATCTGTTTATTTCTCTAAGGAGTGTTATGTAGATGTATTCATATAGTTCCTGTGGGTCTTGGGTGGACTGTCAAATATTTACTAGATTACGTAGTAATTTTGAATGGAATTTCTCTTTCTATCTCTCTTTGCTGGGTTTTATTGGAAACTTAGAAATGCAAGTGATTTATGAGGGATTGTTTTATATCCTGTTACTTTATTGGTTGTTGCTTCAATTAATTTTTAGTCAACTCTATAAGATTCTTTAAGTAGACCATTGTGTTATCTGAAAAAAAAAACCTCCTCTTTGACTATGATTTTTTTTTAAATACTAATTCTGATCTTAGCTCTGAGAAGTTGATTGCCTGACGATATACAGATAGTTGACCCAGGAACAGCTCCTACATTAATAATAAGCATTTTCCTATCAATTAAAATATAATTTATTTCATTCTTTATGAGGCTTTTGTGTAACCTACAAGTGTTTGGTCTATCTTATATCTTCTTTCTGAACTATGTTTTCCTGTATACTTGATCCCAACCTCAATTTGGGGAACATCATTTTAAAAAAAGAAAGATAACTTTGGTTACAGAAAAGTTTTTAAACGGTTCTGTATAAGAAAAACCAATACAATTAGAAGAAGGAAAGGTCCATACCTTTTCACCTAAGGGTGAAAAAAAATTTTGCAATAAACATCTCTGATAAAAAATCTGATATCACTCCAGCATATGCTTGAAAGAAAGGGAGAAGAGGGACTTCTTTGTGAACAATTTTAATTTTTTTCAGTTAAATATGAGGCAAGGTTCTCAGCTAAGAGGATAGGAGATGGAGAGCTATGGGATATTTGAGGAGGGATGGAAAAATTTCCCACATGTAGACTACTAAGTAAGACAAGATGATGAACAGAATCATGCATCAAAAGTTCATTATTTTTCACAGACTGACAGGTAACAATGCCCCATAAAACAAATACGACCTTGAAATAACCCTTGAGAATTCAACCAATAAATTATACTTGAATCAGAGAATTGCCTCAGACCAATTGGTTGCCCACAGTGCCTGGATATAAAATTCATCCATAAATTCTTAATACCATTTTAATATATTTGGCCACACTAAGTCCAAAAAAAAATCTGATATCTAAGATTTATAGGGAATTTAAGGAAGTCTACAAGATTAAGAAATATTTCCCAATTGGTAAACAAAGGCTATGAACAGTTTTCAAAAGGAGAAATACAACAATGATAGCTAAATCACTTAATCTCTCTGGGACTCAGTTTCTTCACCCATAAAATGAGATTAAATTAGAGATCTCCAAAGAACCTTATTAGTATAAATCTTTGATACTATCATCTGAAGAAAATAAATAATAACCAGAGAAATACAAAATTAAAAAAAAATTATGTATAACAAATTGTCAAAAATTTGAGGAAAATTTGGGGTTGCTAAGGTTTTGGAAAATACGTTCCACTACTGATAGAATTATGATTTGGTTCAAATGTTTTGGGAAACAATTTGGAATGATGCAAGAAAAATTACAAAACTGTTTGCACCTTTTGGCCCAGCAATCCCACTATTTGGGAAGTTACTGATAGTAATAAAAGACCTATCTGTACAAAAATATTCATGATAGCATTATTATCATAAGAGTGTTGGGCTTAGAGTTCAAATTCAAACTTGCTAGCTGTGTGACCCTGAGCAAGTCACTTTACCTCTTTCTGCCTTGGTTTCCTCATTTTAAAAATGGGGATAATAATTATAGCACCCATTTGCACAGTTGTTGTGAGATAAAATTTGTAGCCTGCTGTGCAAATCTTAAAGCCTTATATAAATACTAGCTATTATAGCTATCATCATCATCGTTGGCCTTCTGCAACATTTCAAAAACCAAAAGGAATATAATAGTTATCCCAGCAAGGCAGTGTGTGTGTGTGTGTGTGTGTGTGTGTGTGTGTGTGTGTAGGGGGGAGAGATGGTAATTACTAAATTTGATTAGGAATGGTGCCACACAGAATCTTTAATATAAGAAACTAGGGAATGCACGCAGAAAGAATATGCAGAACTTTTTCAATCACTAGAGAGCTATCCAAGATTGGGGACTATAAATTCTGCCAAGCCCACACCAGTAGATTTGCTTGGGACAGCAAATATCAAATTGGCGGGGGCGGGGGGAAGAGTATGAGATAGGAATTCCATAACAATATATCAAAAATTACAGAGCAGCTGGACTTCTTGAATGAACCAATCAGAAATATGAACAAGGCTTAGGTATCTCAATCAAAAGCATTTTAACCAGGCATGAAAAAATCCTTAATCAGTATGGAAGGATCGAAGGCCATTGGATGAATTTAAATGATACCAAACAAAGGGTATGTATGTTCAGATTCGATGAGGAGACTTTGCCATACTGGGATGGGCTGGAACAAAATCAGCATGATAATTTGTAATCAGGAATGAAGGGTTTTTGCTAGTTTACTCCTCAGCTATGGCATCCCAACCTCTGCTGATGCATACTTTTAAAAAATAAATTAAAACGTGTATAACTGTCACACCTGACAACAATGAAGGCCCTATAATACCATTGTCCTGCTCTGTGGGAGAAAATTGTGGGTAGAACGAATAATCTTATTTTCTTTATTTACATATCCTGTGAAATCTAATTTACACGGAGATATTAAGTTGCAAAAGCAGCTCAGGTTTCAGCAGTTAGCATCTCTCAAGACACTACAGAGTCTCAGGTTCCAGAACAGCTTTTAGGAAAACAAGTAGACATAGTCAAAATTTCAAATGTCTGAAAAGCAACATTGTAACTACTCAGCCAGAGTGAAAGCACTGACCATAGGGGGAGAGAGAGAGAGAAAGAGAGGGGGGAAGGGACAGAGAGAGAGAGAGAGAGAGAGAGAGCAGGAGCACGTATATGTGTGTAGGTCACAGCAGTGCATGCCTGTTTGTGGAACGGGATGCTCATGTTGGAAGCATATGTCCTGCTCATTGGCAGAACTGAGAGTACTTGGAAATAGCCCAGTTAGAAGAGGTAGGAGCTAAAAGGCTTCTGGGGGCTGGTGGCTGTAGTATGTGGGTGTGGTTAGGGTAGTCCCATTTGTGGACTGCCTGAGTTAGAACTTCATTTGCCAGTGACCACAGTGATTCCCCAAATTATCCAGGCATGAATATTTTCCTGGGCAGTGCTTGATGAATGGAGAGGTGGGGGCAGGGAAGGGGAGGAATGGGGGTTAATCTCATTTGAGCAACCAGAAGAAAAAAATCAGGAAAGGCAAGCATTGAATAGTACAATCTTAGCCAGGCCTGTTCGAAAACCATTTAGAGGATGCCACTTGTTTAAATATTTGGCCTAAGTATTTGGTTCAATTGAAGGCACATTTAATTGGAAATCCCTGTTTCCTGAAGGAATTAAACAGAGAGCAATAGAAGGCAAATTTTCTAACAATTAAAGCTATCCAAAAATTAAAAGACTGCTCCATGAAATAGTGAGCTCACTATCCCTTGAAATATTCAAATAAAATGTTTTGGGTTTTTTTGGACCTGACCTTTGGTGATTTCTTTAGTTTAAAAAAATCTTCACTGAGGAAACACTGCCAATTCAGATGGGGACCTGCCCTGCAATTTAGACTTAGAGAGTTGCTTGGGGTACTGAGACATTAAGAGACTTGCCCAGTGTCACACAGACAGTACATTAGGGATAGTACTTGAACCCTGACTTTAAGGCCTGTTTCCTAGTTATGCATCTCTATCTGATAACTTCTTATCAGATTGAAAATAAGAACATGAGGGGCAGCTAGGTGGTACAGTGAATAGAGCACTAGCCCTGGAGTCAGGAAGATTTGAATTCAAAAATGGCCTTAGATACCTACTAGCTGTGTGACCCTGGGCAAGTCATTTAACCCCAATTCCCTCAACAACAACAACAACAAAAAGAAAAAAGAAAAGAAAAGAAGAATGTGCAAACGTTTTCTTCTCTGGGATGCTGCAGAGGCAATTCCTATGCTGGGTAGGAGGGTTGATTAGATGGCCTTTCAAATTCCAAACCTAAGATTTTATGATCTTTCAGGCAAGGAGCTGATTAGGTTCAACCTTCTTCCCATAACCACAAAGCTAAGAACATCCCACTCTGGAATTGGCTATCATGTGAAAGAAGGGCTGATAACATAATTAAGAGAAATGGGTAGAAGTTGTAGAAGGGCAGAAAAACTTCTTAACACTTAGAGTTGCTCAAAGGAGAAATGGGCCACCTTAGGAGTCAGGAGTCTTTCCCTTATTCTTTTCAAGCAGAAGCTAGAGGATAACCTGTCAGGGATGATATATGGTGGATTCTTTGTCAGGTGGTAGGTTAAATCAGAGGGATGCAGAGGTCCCTTAAATCTCCGAGATTCTTTAATTCTTCTATATCTGCCCCAATCATCCTCATGTGCTGCTGTATAATCCAAAGGGGTTGGAGTTATTACTACTGCACATGAGATGTTTTTAGGGGCTTAGGGACCACTGGATGTTGCAAGAACAAAATCTGGTATGGTTTTGATTAAAACACTCCGTGATGCTGAACAGGGGATATAGAGATACTTTCAAACATGATTAGCAACCAGCAGAAAGGGAAGTTTTTATAAGTACTTGGGCTAATGCCCAGCTTTCCCAGATGGCAGTGCTATGGTGTCCTGCCAGCCACATTAACCAAGACTACTCTGCATAAGAAAGTGACTCTGCAGAAGGACCTCTGTCTAATAATCTTGGAGGTGTTGGATATGAAAACTGGGGTCCACAGAAGAACACGGTTCATAAGACTCAAGTTAGAAGACCTGGATTTGAAATCTCTCTCTGCTCTTTACTACCAAGATGACTTTGGGCAAATCACTTCCATTCTCTGAGCCTCAGTTTCCTCCTATATAAAATGAGTGGGTTGATCTACATCAGGGGTTCTTAACCATTTTCATATTGTGAACCCCTTTGGTAGTCTGGTGAAGCCTACAGACTCCTCAAAATAGTGTTTTTAAATGCATAAAATAAAATGCATAAGATTGCAAAGGAAACTAATTATATTGAAATACAGTATCAAAATGTTGAAATAAAATGAAACAAATTCACAGATAGCAGGTTAAGAACCCATGATCTCAAGATCTCAAAGGTTTTTTCTCACCCTGGCGATCTTAGTGACAAAGACAGAGCCCAAAGTCTCCATAGTATGCCTGGCAAATAGAAAGGTTCAATAAGGCTCCTAACAAGCCTAATCTATAAATGAAGCAGGAGCTTAAGCTGACATATGGAGATCTCTCCAAGCATACCATATTTGTACAAATAGCAAGAAAACTAGACAAAAAGGAAAATTGAAAACCTCCTTCTTAACCTCCCCACCACCATCACCCATCTCTCCTGCCCGAAAACTCACCCTTCTTCCTGAGCTGCCAAGGAATTCTGAGAGAGCTTGGCTAAGTTCTTGGCATATTCTTCTTCGATCTTAATTCTGTAAAGACATAAAACCCAATGAATCATTTTTCCAGCATGGAAGTTTGCCCAGTGATACTACAGACCAAAAGGATGTGTTGGTTACTGCTTTCCCCCTTCCCTCCTGCCCTCATTCTTTACCAAATATCTTTTCAACCCTTCTGGAAATTTGGTCTGGAATTTCAGTGAAAGTCTTGCTTTCTCAAAGGTTCGAATAGCCCAGTTTTCCCCACTAATTAGGCTTTGGCATTTTTATTTCTATGGAAATATAGTTATCCAATAGTCTGCATTTGGTTCATTGCAATGTTCCATGAAAGAACACTTGCTTTGGTGCCGTCTTCCTCCAACCTAGCCCTTTATATACTTGAGGTTTACTCAGTTTCTATCTCATTTGGCATTGCTACATTATCCCAAAGATAACTACTCACTGCCAAAAAAATGATCCCTAGTTGTGCTACATCTCTGAATGTCAGAAGCAGTATTAATCTGTTCTTTAAAAATATAGATTTAAAACTGGAAGGGATATTAGAAATCAAGTGATCAACCTTCCTCATCTGTAAGATGAGGAAGCGGAGGACCAGAGATTAAGTGAATTACTAAAAGTCACACAAATAGTAAATGGCAAAACCAGGATCCAAACCCTAGGAACAGCATGTTTCCCTCTGAACTGTCCTGTCTCTCTATTGCCAGTGCTCAGGCACTGGCCACTGTTTCCCTGATCACTCCCTTCAGGCTAAGAGGCATGAAATTAATATGGCTACGCAGGCCCCTGGAGCAATGGTTACCTTTCCCTAATGAATTCTGACATTTCCTTCTGCATCTGTTTGCCTTTCAGTTGCTTCTGAAGAAGAATCTCAAACCCAGCCACAGTGCCATTGCCTTGGGGATCCTTCTTATCAGCCTGGAAAGGAAAAAGATGGGGTATGAAGAGCTTGGGGGCTAAGTGGAACCACGGAGGATCGTAATTTTGTTACTGTTTAACATGGGTTTCTGAGCTCTAACAAGGCAAAGACAGATGGGTGGATTGTGGAGGATGGGACATGAAATGAGAACTTTAGAAGGAAATGCTAAAGACATCCTGGTGACCTGGCAGATGGAACAGTTTGATCTACAAGGGCCTTATTTTCCTTACTTCATAACTTTCTCAACTCATTTCCTAGGGAATAACAAGAAAATGTACAACTTGGCTAACATAACTCATTCCAAGTAGGACCTATGTGGTGAACTACAAAGTACTAGGAATGACTTTTTTTTTTTAAAGCAAACAGAGAAGAATATATGTTCACAAACAGGTACTGTCCTTTGAAATTTAGAGCCCTCATAGACAGCATTCATGCTGGCTTCCCTTCAGGCCTGGCCCTAGGACTATCTCCAGTACCATAATGCACGCCAGCCCTCAGCATCTCCTCCAGGTCAGACATAGTACCCCTGCCTTCTCACCAGGCTCCCTGGGGCCTCAGGGCACATCATCAGTTGCCACAAGGTTGAACCTCAAAAGAGAAAATGAATGGTTTAATCACATGCCTCCTACAACTCAGCTTTCTCTAACCACACATGCTCTTAATGGCCTCTCTCTCCTCAATAGCTAATGTAAACCTTTATCCTCACTCTATTCATGTGATTCTGATCAGCTGGCTGCCATTGTACAAACCCTGTTCCCTATCCCCAACTGGCCACTCCCTTACTACAAACCACCTTAAGCCTACTCCAGATTCCAGTGCCCCACTCCAAATCTGCCCACTTTTCCCACTGTGCCATCTGAAAGCCTGCTCCAAGATTAACATATTTCCTTTCACCAGAAAATTCTTTTTTTCTTACTTATTCCGTAAGACCTGGTTCTTTTCTAATGACACTGCTTTCCTTGTCACTATTTCTAGTACCAGCTACAATATCCCTCATGCCTCCTAATTAACTGGTCACAAGGAATAGGAATATTCCATGCTCTCCAGTGCCATACTCGCCCTCTACCATCTTCATTAAGCAACTTCTCTTTCTTTGAGGGTTATAGGATCCCAATTTATTACCAAATTCAGATCCTTATGGCTGTGATCTATTGACACTTACCTTCCTTCTTCAGTGAATTCAGTGCCTGATTCACAGTCTTTCATTGTTACCCATCTCCTGCCCTCCTACTAGAGAACTTCAAAATACATACTGATCCTCTCACAAATTCCTTAACTCCTCAGTTCTTCAGTCTGCTCAAGTGCCTCAGTCTACTCCACTTTACTTCACTTACACACAGATATCCTTGATCTTGCTGCCACTCACAAATATTCCACTTTTTTTCATGAACTCTGAAATTTCTTTGTCTGATTATGATCTTTTATTATTCCAGATTCCCTAGGCATTATGATCCTTAATACTGTTCTTCATCTTCATAGTGTTCTCAACTCTCTCTGAGTCCTCTGTTTTTTTCCCAGGATATCACCTTTGCATTGCCTTCACCCTGTTCTCTTCCTATCTTGACCCTTTAGTGAACCAATTTAACTCTACATTATCTTCTACTCTTGAATTCCACACTTAATCCCAACCCTGAATTACTCTCACCATCTACTGCCTCTCCTATATATGTGATACTGAACAATACTGGAGGAAATCACAAAACCATGCTGCCTGGGTCTATTAAAAGTTTATGTTACCTAATCTCAACCGAGTCTTTACTGATACAAGACAAATACCCACTTTCTCCTAATAAATTCATTACTCTCTCCACAGTGACTGTTCCAAACATTTTCATCTCTCCTCAAGCCACCCAACAGCATTCTTCTTCCTAACTCTTAGCTGAGGACCTTAGCTCATACTTTACTGGAAAAATGGATGTCATTCTGTGAGAATTCCCCCCTTCTCCCTTCTTATATTTTCTTTCTTTCCTTTAACATTCCCTGCTTTAGGCTTTAGGATTATAGATTTTTAAAAAATGGCAGAGTGCTTTCTTTCTCAGTAGTTAAGAATAATTTGTTTAATATAGGTATTAATTTTTCTTTAAAAGTTTGATAAAATACTCCAACAAATCTATCAAGATGAGGAATTTGTTTTGGGTACGTCCTTTACAGCTAATTCTATTTCCTTTTCTGAAATTCAATAATTTAATATCTAAAAAAATATCAAATAGAGATATCAAGGTATCTCTATTTGATGTTCTGTTAGTTTGGGTACTTTATATTTTTGATAGTAATTCCCTATTTCTTTTGTGATCTCTTTCGTTGGCATATAACTATGCATAGTAGGGCCTGATAATTATTTTTATTTCTTCTAGTTTTGCTGTGATTTCGCCTTTTTCATTTGTTGAATGAACAAATTCTTTTTTCTTTCTTAATCAAGTTGGTTAAAATTTTGTTAGTCTTTTTAGAGAATCAGCTTTTAGTTTGGTTTATCATTTCTTCAGCCTTTTTGTTTTCCAATTTATTCTTCCTATAAATTTCAAGATTTTCTCTTTCGTAGTTATTGAGTTAGTTTATTAAATTGTATAATCAATTAATTAATCCTTTTTTGTTAATATGTTGCTAAATATAAAAAATTATTAAGCATTTACTATGTGTTTTAAATATAACGTGCAATTTTTGGGATAATTTTTCCTCTTAGGACTGCTTAGCTTCATCCCAAAAATTCTGCCATGCTATCTCATCATTATCGTTGTCTTTCATATAATTATTATTTGTTTCTGTGATTTTTTTTGTTTGACTCACTTGTTATTTGGAATTTCATCTTTAAGCCTCCAGTGTCTTTTTCAGTGTTCTCTGAATTGATTACTATTATTATTTTGTTATGGTCTATAAAGAATGTGGTTAGTACTTTTGCCTTTTTACATTTATCTGCAATTTCTCTGTAGCCTAACATGTTGTCAATTTCCGTAAAAGGGCAATGTGGTGCTAAGAAATATTTGTTTTCTTAAGGGGTGCCATTCAGAAGGCAGCTAAATTCTCCAACTTTTTTTTCCCAAATTTATATTTTCCCTTTTATTTTCTTTGTCAGCTTTGTCCAATTTTGAAAGAACATTAAAGTTTCCTACTATTGTGTTACAATCTATGTCTTTTTGCAATTCAGTATTTTTTTCTCTTATGAATTTATATGCTATGACATTTGGGGCACATAAGTTTAATATTGATATTGCTTCATTGGCTATTTGGTTCCTTTAAGCATAACGCATTTTCCTTGTTATCTCTGCTTATACTGTAAAATTTAAAAACAAAACAGTCCCTGACCTCAAGGAGCATATATCTACTGGGGGAAAGAGGTATAGAAAAAAATGTGTACATGGGAAACTAAATAATATAACACTCCTGCCCAAGCAGGCATGGGTGGTTTCCTGAAGGACTGTGTATGGTGTATATCATCAGTTATAGTACAAAGCTTTAAGGTTTACAAAATACTTTACAAATGTCATTTCCTTTTATCCTCACAACTACCTTGGGAGGGAGATGCTATTATTACCCTTTACTTGCACAAAGTTACACAGTAAGTATCTATATACCCTTCTAGTCCCTCCCTTATCCTGTTAACTAGGCCTCTTATCTCTTTATAAGTTTAGAAGACTTTTATACCCTTTCAGATGCACATGTTGTTCTCTCTTTAACCCAGATCTGATGAGAGTAAGTTTTCAGTACTACCATCCCTCCACCCCCACCTGTTTCCTTTCTATCATTTCTTCCTTTCACGCCCCTTTTGTATGAGATCATCACTCCTTTTTACCTTTTCCTACCCAATTTTGCTTTTCAGAACTCCATCATACTCAATTCAGTCCTAACCTTTCCTTCAAACTATGTTAGTAATGGTGACAGTCTTAAGAATACTGATAACATTTTCATATATAAGAAGTAAATAGTTTGATCTTAATCCCTTATAATTAGTCTTTAATGTTTTCCTTACATTTCTTCTGGATCTTACATATCAAATTTTCCACTGAATTCTGGTATTTTTGTCATTAATACCTGAAAATCTTTCAGTTCGTTAAATGCTCATTTTTTTCCCCATTCAGGATTATATTCAACTTTGCTGGGCAAGTTATTCTTGGCCGCAACCCCAGCTCTTTTGCTCTTTGATGTATAATGTTCTAAGACCTACAGTCTTTTGTAGAAGCTGCTAGATCTTGTGAAATCCTGATTATATCTCTTCAGTATTTAAATTGTTCTTTTTTTTCTTCTCTCTAGCAATATTTTCTCCTTAACCTGGGAGTTTTGAATCTTGGCTATTTACAAGAATGTCAATTCCTGTAAGTTTTTTCCCTGAGATCTCTTTCAGGTGGTAAATGACAGATTTTTTTTTTCTGTTTCTACTTTACCCTCTTGTTCTAGAACTTCAGGGCAATTTTCCTTAATAATTTCTTATAATATTCTATCAAGATTCTATTTTTTTTTAATCGTAATTTTCAGGTAGTCCAACAAATCTTATATTGTCTCTCCTTGATCTGTTCTCCAGATCAGTTGTTTTTTTTTTAATGAGATGTTTTAGATTCTCTTCTATGTTTTATAGTTTTATTATTTCTTGGTGTCTCATAACATCATTTGATTCCCCTTGCCCAATTCTAGTTTTCAAGGAGTTGTTTTCTTAGAATTTTAGACCTCTTTTTCCAATTGGTTAACTTTCTTTCCATAATTTTCTTGGATTGCTTTTATTTTTTTCAAAACTTTTTCCTCAATCTCTCTTATTTGACTTTTGAAGTCCTTTTTAAGTTCTTCCAAGAATTCTTTTTGGGCTTGTGACCATTTGATATTACTCTTTGGGGTACGAGTGATTTTTTTTTTAACCCTCATTATCTTCCTCTGAATATGAACCCAGCTCTTCTTTTATACCGTAGCAGCTTTCAAGACCAGATGGATTTACAAGTGAATTCTATCAAATATTTCAAGATCAACTAATTCCAATATTATATAATTTGGAATAATAGGCAAAGAAGAGATCCTACCAAATTTCTTTTATGAAACAAATATGATACTGATACTTAACCCAGGAAGAGTAAAAACAGAGAAAGAAAATTATAGACCAATTTCAATAATAAATACGGATGCAAAAATCCTAAATAAAATACTAGCTAAAAGATTACAACAATATATTACAAAGATTATACATTATGACCAAGTGAGATTTAAACCAGGAATGCAAGGATGCTTTAACATAAGGAAAACTATTAACACAATCGATTATATCAATAATAAAAGTTTTACGGGCAGCTAGGTGGCGCAGTGGATAGAGCACCAGCCCTGAAGTCAGGAGGACCTGAGTTCAAATCCGGCCTCAGACCAACACTTGACACTTACTAGCTATGTGACCCTGGGCGAGTCACTTAACCCCAGTTGCCTAAAAACTAAATAATAATAATAATAATAATAATAGTTTTTAAAAATCATATGATTATATAAATAGATGCAGAAAAAGCTTTTTATAAAGTACAACACTCATTTCTATTAAAAACACTTGAAAGTATAAGTGGATTTTTCCTTAAATTGATAAAAAGCATTTATCTAAAACCATCAGCGAGCTTTATTTGTAATGGGGATGAGCTTCTCAGTAAGATCAGATGTGAAACAAGGATGCCCACCACCACCAATATTATTCAATATTGTATTGGAAATTCTAGCAATAGCAAAAAGAGAAGAAAAAGAAATAGAAGGAATCAGAATAGGGAATGAGGTAATAAAACTAACTCTTCTTTTGTAGATGATGAGATGATATACATGGAAAATCCTAAAGATGCAACTAAAAAGTTAGTTGAAATCATGGTTTCTGTTTAAGTCAACAAGTCAAGTCAACAAGCATTTATTAAGTGTCTACTATTTGCCACATACTGTGCTAAGCACAAATAAAGGTAAAAAACAGTTCCTGATCTCAAGGAGCTCACAGTCTTATTGGAGAGACAACACGAAAGTGACTTTGTACAAACAAGAAATATATAATATAAATTAGAGATAATCAACAGAGGGAAGGCACTAGCATTAAAAGAGATTAGGAAATACTTCTTGTAGAAGGTAGGACTTTGGCTGAGACTTTTTAGGAGTTGATATGAGGGAGAATTGTTACAGGCATGGAGGACACCAAGAGAAAATGCCTGGCACAGGAAGACGAAGTGTCTAATGTCAGGAATAGCAAGGAGGCCAATGTTACTGGATTATAGAGTATACAGAAGAGTCAAGGGAAAAAAGATTGTAAAGGTAGGAAGCAGTTACATAATGGATGGCTGTAAGTAATGTTTTACTATTTGCTTTGATAAATGTTTGCTTACTATCTGTGATTATCATTTGTGTAACAAACATTTGGGGGAAGGGATGTAAGCTAACTCTTATCCTTCCAGCCTGGAGTGGGAATATTTGCCACCTTGAACCCAAGGGGATATGAGCTATTATCCTGAACCCCTAAAAGTGCATCATAACCGTAGATTGTCTGATGTGTTATAGATAAATATAATTCTAGTGTAATAGTCCTTTTGGAGATAGGAAAGTAGAGAAATGAGATCCCAACTGTGGCCCTCCTCCTTGTTCTGTCCAAAGGTGAAAATTACATTAGATATCATATAGCTAAACATATACTTGCAGTCAGGCCAACCCAGGCCTCTGTTGCTCAGTTTATACTCTTACACTAAATATGAAGTATAGACAAAAACATTTCTTTGGTGAGGACACTAGCAATGGCGAATGGGAAGGATCAAGACAGGATTCCTATAGAAGGAAACACTAGAGCTGAGCTCTAGCTTCTAGCTGAAGTGTGGGATTCAGTGAAGTGGAGGTGAGAAGGTAGTACATTCTAGGCACAGGGCACAGCCTATGCAAAAACACAGGTGGGAGATGGAATGTCTTGTCCAGGAAATGGTCAGTCCCAGGTATGCTTCACACTCTACCCCAGGCATATTCTTGCCATTGATCCCACTGTAACCCCTGGCATCACCAGATCACCAGAAACCATGCCCTGGGAAAATTAATTCACTCAATTTTGGAGCTACCATTTTGGGACTCCCTGTCCTAATTGGTGAGTTTGTGAGGACAAACTTCCATGACCTACTATTTTTAGCCTGTTCTAGCTATTCTTTATGTTTGTTGTCTTGATCTCCATTCCCCTTACCTTCAGTTATCTACCTTGTTCACACAACTTCCCATCTTCTCTCCCCACTTAGATTTCTTCTTCAGGGGATTGTAATCAAATCAATATTGCCACAGCTACTAGGAAGGATATGTGTCAATCATCTTCCCTATGGCTTCCCCAACTCTAGCTCTGAGAATAGTAATCTAATCAACACTACCATTCCCAGAAAGGACAAGTCAATCAATTACTCCATGACTCAAATTATCATTCCCTATCACTTTCCATTTTAAAAACTCTTCCCTGACTACCAGGCCATATTTGTATGGTCTTTCTCAATTAAAATAAAAGCTCTTTGAGGCCAAGAACTATTTTACTTGCTTATATTTGTAAACCCTGCTGCATAGTACAGAATAAGCAGTTAATAATTTTTCATTTGTTCATTTGTTCATTCATTCATTCATTCACTGGGAGATAGGCTTTGGACAGAGTGAAGTTTGGGTCACTTACCCAGAAGTAATCACAGTAGCTCCATTCAGTTGGCTTCAACAGTTGCTGCTCTGGCATTGTATCAGGATGTGGGAAAGTCACACAGTTTATCTGAAAAGGCAAAAGAGGCAACAGCTTTGCCAAATGGTGAGGAAAGTGGAGACAAACACAGCACTGGAGAGGCTCCTGAACACTCTTTACAAGGTCATATTGACTCTACCCATAAGACTGGCAAAGACAACAAGGGGAAAGTCAGTGCTGAAGGGCTTGTGGAGAGATAGGCATACACTAGCAGAGTGTTGGTGGAGTCATGAATTTGTCCAACCATTCTGGAAAGTAATTAAAATTTTGCTTAACAAGTAGGTAAAATGTTTATAATTCTGACTCAAAGATCATACTTGGAGGTACATATCCCATGGAGAATTAAAATAGAAAAATCCCATATTCACCGAAATAGTCAAAGCTATACGTCTTTGTAGTTGTGAAGAAATAGAAACCAAATAGAAGGCCACTTATTGAAGAATAGTTTGACAAATTTTGGTATATGAATGTAATGGAATAGTGCTGTGCTTTAGGAAACAATGAATAAGAAGAAGACTATGGAGAAGCATGGGAAGAGGGTAAAGGAAGAAAGCATTTATATAGTGCCTACTATGTGCTAGACACTGCACTACAGACTTTATACATATCTCATTTGATACAGCAACTTTGTGAGAAAAGTGCTATTATGATCCCCATTTTAGAGTTGAGGAAACTGAGGCACAGAGATGTTAAATGACTTGCCTAGGGTTACACAGCTGTCTGAGACCAAATTTAAGAGTAATAGCTAACATTTATATAGCACTTACTATGTGCCAGACACTGCGCTTAGTACTTTACAATTATTATCTCATTTAATCCTCGCAACAACTCTGGGAAATAGGTGCCATTATTTCACAACTGAGGAAACTGGGGTAGAGAGAGGTTAAGTGACTTGCCCAGGGTCACACAGCTATTAAGTGTCTAAGGCTAAATTTGAACTTAAGTCATCCTGAACCCAGGCACCATACCACCTAGCTGCCTTAAAACAACATGATGATGCAGAATGAAGTAATCAGTACCAGAAAAACAACATAAATAAACATGTGTGTGAACACAGATAGAAAATGTGTGCATCTCTATATATACATATATAGAGACACACACATACAGAATGAAGGAAAGAACAACAAGAGACTGGATGCTATTTATAATAATCAAGCTTGGTTTTGGGAAAGAGTTAAGAAAGTGGAGGACTATGGATATGGAATATTGCATAATTTATCAGATACAATTGAGACATTGATTATATTTTGCCTGACTGTTTTGTTTTCTGCTTCCACTTTTACTCCTTATTTGATATGATGGCTAGATGGGAGGGGGTAGAGGTAGAGATATATATGGAAATGAAGATGACAGAAAAATAAAATAAATCAATAAAAATAAGAGTTTTTTAAAGAAAAGATCTTGGTAAATAGAGAATAAACAAATCTATCTTCAGTGAAGCAGTGTTGAAATCTAAAGCATCACAAGAATCTTATAACACAGATTGGAGTCAAGGCCCTTTGGCCTTCTTAATTTTCCCAGTATATTTCTCTACATTGACCATTCTCTCCTTTGGAGACAGACAGCCTTGACTTCTCCAGACGGGCTCAGTCCATTACCCTGAAAATTACAAATGCCTTCCTTACTCCAGATTACAAATGATGTTACCTGAAAATCAAAAGTTAAAATCAGTAAACAGTAGAGATAAGCTTTGGGACCTCAGGGATACAAAGAAATATAGGTCTGAATTGAAGTGAAATTCAGGTTTCCATATGAGAAAGGACAAAATTCTAGGCATGGATGACAGGATCTGGGTGCACATTAAAGCTGTCAGTCAGAACATTGAGTCAGTCAATAAGCATTTATTAAGTATCTATCTATGAGAAGACTTCTACCAGTCTGTAGTCAAAGAAGGAATTTACTTGTGCCATAAGTCAGATCTGACTATTTTTGGAATAGAACCAACAGATCCATTCCAATTGCAAGTGATTATGTGATATGAAAAATGGGGATAGATATCCCCTTGATATCTGGAAGCACCATGGTTCTGCTAAGTATTCTCCCCATCCCCAAGGGGAGATGACGGATGGGCAAATATTGCACCTTAATGTTCACTCCAAAGGAGAAGGGCATGCAGAGGGTGTCCCAAAGCTTCAGCTGCCCGGCTCACTAGCAAAGACACACTCAAATGTCCTGTGTTGCTTCTTCTTTTGGAGCCCCTAATTAAGTTCTTCATTGTCCCACCTAACTTCTGAGTGAGTTCAAATTGTTCCAGAATGGTCTTCATCTTTCTTTTCTTCCTAGGAGGGATCCTCTCCTTTCTAAGATCTCTCAAAGCATTTCGTATTTTTCCAAAATACACACAAGACAATTATTTGTGCATTTGTTTTACCTTCCCTACTCCAATTCCTTAAGTGTTGGGACAGTATCATATTTACACAATGCCTAGCATATAAAATGGCTAATAAACATTTTTCAAATTCCTCTCTTCTTACGTTTTTAGAAAGTAGTCACGGCTCTCGGAAGGAAAGCATTCACATTTATTAAGCACCTATTATGTAGCAGGTATTTGCGGGCAATCAGGGTCACATAGCTATTCAGTGTCTGAGGCTGGATTTGATGTCAGGTCCTCCTGACTCCAAGGCCAGTGCTCTGTCCACTGCACCATCTAGCTGCTCCAGGTATTGTTTTTTACATACACTATCTAATTTGATCTCACAACGACTCTGGAAGGTAGGTGCTGTTATTATCTTCATTTTATATTTAAGGAAACAGAGGCAGACAGAGATTAAGTCACTTACCCAAGGCCTTGAAGGAAGCCAAAGATGCCAGGAGATAGAGTTGAGAAGGGAGAGAATTCTAGGCATGGGAAATAGCCAGTGAAAATGCCTAGTGTCAGCAGATGATGTGTCTTATTCAAGAAAAAGCAGAGGTCAGTGTTGCCGGATGTTGGAGTTGGTTGGGAGGTGGGTGGGGTGTAAGAGGATTGGAAAAGGTGTGTGTTTGGTTATAAAGGTGTTTGAATGCCAAGCAAAGGGTTTTATTTTTGATACTGGCAGTGACTGAATAGGAATAGGAAGGTATTTACATATTTTTTTTACATAAATCTAAGCTGTATATGGTACCTTAAAAACAAAATACAACACCAGACTATGTATTGGGGCATAGAATCCTCACTAAAAAAAAAAATTTAGAAAAACAGAACTAAACACTATCATTCACTGATCAAAATGTAATAAAATTATATTCAATAAACAATTCTTAAAAATAAGGATTTAAAAACTATTTGGAGACTAAATAACAATTCTAAAGAACGAGTGAGTCAAAGAACAAATTATAGATACAATAAAATATTTCAAGGAAAATGACAGTAACAAGACAATAAACCAAAACTTATGGAATCTATCTAAAGCAGTTCTTAGGGAAAAATGTATCATCTCTAAATACTTTCGTCAACAAAAGAAAGATATAAAGATGAACACATGGTTTCTGGCTTTTTGCATATGTAATCTTTAACAGTAGTGGTTACCAGAACTTGCCTTGCAGACTGTGGGATCAAGGGTAAGAGAGATCATGGGACTCCTGAGAATGGAATTTGAGGAGGGGAACTTGGGTTGGAGATGGTGGGGCCTCAACCAGGTGGGACTTATGAAAAGAAGTTCATAGGTTAGGGGTATCAGTGTCCCATCACTCCTAGAGCCAAGAGAAACCTCCACTATGGCCTGACGCCACCAGAGGTGAGTAATATCCAACTTTCCAAACATGCAGTTCTTCAAATTATAATAACAAACATTTATAAAGAGCTTCATGGGGGTAGCTTGGTGGCACAGTGGACAGAGTGTTGGGCCTGGAGTCAGGAAGATGAGTCTTCCTGAATTCAAGTCTGGCCTCAGCCACTTAATAGCTGTTTGACCCTGGGCAAATCACTTAACCCTGTTTGCATCAGTTTCCTCAACTGTAAAATGAGCTGGGGAAGGAAATGGCAAACCACTCCAGTATCTTTGTCAAGAAAACCTCCAATGGGGTCATAAAGAGTTGGACATGACTGAAAAACAACTGAACAACAACAATAAAGAGCTTTAAGATTTGCAAAGTGCTGTACACCCATCATCTCATCTGATTCTCACAACAACCTTGTGAGGTAGGTACTGTTATAACCCTCATTGTACAGATAAGGAAACTTGAGACTTTAAGAGGTTTAAATGACTTACCCAGGGTCACATTGCTAGCAAGTGTCTGAGGTCAGATTTGAAAGCGGGTCTTCTTGAGTCCAAGTCCAGTGTCTTACTCCCTATGCCACCTACTTGCCTAGAGAAAGCTAAATTTGAGAGATTTCTGGCTCCCAAAGACAATTAGTTTTTTCAGTGAACTATGGAGAACCTGTCATTTTATATTGAGCAGAGTTCTCTTACCCTGTGGCTATGCCTGGGAACCATACTTTCCCAAATTCCCTTTATTCCAGGATGCACAGAACCTCTGTCCTCTGTCCCTTCTCTTCATCACTTTCACTTTCTCCAATTATCTCCCCCCTGACCTCCATCTCAGAGAAAAGGAATAATGCTGCCATACCAACCTCACACTAAAAAATATTCTATTAAATTAATTAAGGCTAGCTATTAGTAGCAGTTAGGAAGAACAGAACATTTAACCATCAGCCAAGCCTCTATGGTCCCATCCAAGTCACCATCATTTATCTGTGGGGTGGGAATTGGGAGGAAAGCTAAGTCTGGGCTGAAACATACTAGAGAACCCTCTTTTTCTTTAAAGGTGGAGTTCTTAGCCCAGAGGCAAATTTAGAACAATTCCATGCATAGTCTATAATATTTCAAAAATTTTTGAATGGAAAAGGACATCGTATTTTCTTTTTCATTTAGAATAACCCATAGTTAAACAGGAATTCCCTCTCCAATATACCTAACAAATGGTCATTCGATTTCTACCTGAATACCTGCAGTGCTTAGAAGCTAATCCCTGAGATGTTAGTGAATTCCTAATCTATTTTTGGATAGCTCCAATTATTAGAAGTTTGCTCTTATATGAACTTAAAA